GACACGCATATTACACAAGTCACATGACCGGCATATTACACAAGTCATATGGCTCACATATTTACACACGTCACATGACCAACATATTTACACAAGTCACATGGCTCACATATTTACACAAGTCACATAACCTGGATATTTACACAAGTTACATGACCGGCATATTACACAAGTCACATGACACACATATTACACAAGTCACATGACCGACATATTTACACAAGTCACATGACCCGAATATTTCTTAACACACAGCAACCCATCAAAAAAGCTTCATCCTATCCAATCGACTAGATCAAATAACCTTGAAATCGAGACGAAAATCAATCGATTTATTCCTTTGCACGTGTGGCTTCGATCTCGATTAAATCTAACCCCGTATCATTAATTGTATTTTTAGCGCAATTTCCATTCTGGAGAATTGCGTTTATTAACTCGTCATTTCTGGGAATGTATGGATGGATGAATGTATGGATGTATGAATGTGTGTCCGGGCTTTAAGTCGTATCTCCTCCTCAACGAAGCAATATCGATGACTAGTTACAAAAAGCAATTATGTTAAGCAAGTTACGAGGATGAACATAGGCCACAAAAATTCCGGGTTTCTTTCATGGATTTCCCGAAAAAGCCAAAAAAACCTCGAAAAAATGCAGTTTTTTGGCCCATATCTCGGCAACCAGACCACTTAGCGACTTGAAACATGTACCAATCGATTCCTGCCATAATTTAGAACAATATTGCCAAAGAAAGTTTTCAAAAATATCCTTTCGTTCGGTCACAAAATTTTTTTTGAATTAATTAAAATTTGGACCGAATTAGTAGGCATGTTTTTCCAACCACACCACACGCGTCATCACGTTCAATAGCTGCGCCATCACGTTCAATGGCTGCGACATCACATTCGGTAGCTAGGCGCGCAATGGTTTTTAGTCATGTTACTCTATTGTAAATAAAACATGTAAAATACTGAAAAAAAAATTAATAAAAAACGTTTTAATAACTAACCAATGGTTTTACTAACCCTGCTCTTGATTTACGCTACGACAGAGCTATTTTTAGATAACATAAGGAAACTGCGCTAAAATTGTCACTAGACTTTTTTTAATTACTTGTTTAGATACACTGTGTCTTAAGCTTGTAAAAATCGCAAAACCGATGCTCTTTTGAAAACTATTTTTCTAAAAATCAAACAACTGCAAACCACATTGTGGTGTTAAATATGTTTAGCAATAAGAGTTGTTTTCATTGCATTAGTATAAAGAGTCTAGTAGCAAAACCTGTTAACTCACTTCTGATTGATTTTGAGGATATCAATTTTTTTTTAATTGGTCATCTATTCTCACAAGTTTTTTATTTATTTTATTATTACCTATTGTTTACTATTTAGAACAAAAACTATTATAGTACTGTAATTGTCACTTAATTAAGACTATAAAAGTAATTTTTTCTCGAAAAGTCGACTTGATTAGTTTACTAAGCGGCCTCATCAGTTGATGTGTGAAGTCTGCCCTCTCTACGTGTTGTGTGACTCTACCATGATGGTAAAGCCCTGGGCGCCGACTAAGCAAGATTTAAAAAATATATATATACCGTGAAATCAATGCAGATTAGCGGCATAGCCATATAAAGGAAACATTCTTTCAGGACCGACCACTCGTGCGAGCCTAACTGTGAGGTATGGATAACTGTACTTCTTAGGGTGAGTTCTGCTTGATTTATTTTTATTTATTTTTTTACTATTATTATTTATAATTTTTTTTTTGCTCATCGGTGATCTCGATTAGTTTTAAAAACTGAATCGGTAGTTGTAAGAAAATAAATAATGTAATGGTTGAATTGATAATCGCGTATTCTCAAAACTTTTTCTTGCATCGTGATACGGTTCACTGACTTACGTGAAAAAAAAAATTGTGTCGATTTTCATAAAAAATATGTTTTTAAATGTAGTTATCTCATTTTGCCCGTAAATTTAACACAAGTATACCAAATCTTATAACTAATTGTGATTTTGGTCTATTAACAGTAGCGTAGCGAGGGGGGGGGGGAGACATATGTCCCCGGGCGCCGACCTTAGGGGGCGCCAAAATGGGTTGGAAAAATAAATTGAACGGTTGAGGGGGGTGCAAATCGAAAGTTTGAGAGGCGGTTGCAAATCGAAATCTCGAGAGGAGGGTGCAAATCGAAAGTTTGATGGGGGGGGGAGGTGCACAAATCGAAAGTTTGAGTGGGGGGGTGCAAATCGAAATCTTGAGGGGGGGGGGTGCAAATCGAAAAGTTTGTCCCCGGGCGCCGGGAAGGGTCGCTACGCCTCTGTCTATTAAAGTTGATCTGTGTTTTAAAATTGCACAACAAAACACACACGTTTAGCAAAGATCTTCAAAGAAAACAAAGATCAAAACAAATTTAGATGCTGACTCAGAAATATGCATCCATTTTCTATTATTGGCAAAAGTTGTTTGTTTTTTTAATTAGCAACATGTCGAAAGTAAAAGAATCTATTGTTTTAGTTGTACACAAACCAAATTCGTGCAATAAACTTCTTCAAACAAATGTAAAGTCAACAAAAATATATATTTCTGAGCGAAATCGCACTTTTTTAATTAAATAAAACTCCAGTTATTAGACTGCTAATCGGGTCGGTTTAGTTGAGTTGGTAAAGCTCATGGTTGCTAAACCGAAAAGTCTCGAGTTCGAACCGTGGGGCAGATGAGGCTGTCTTGTAGTTTGTTCTTGGTTGGACAAAGGCTAGGGAAGCAAATCCAAAAAAAGGAGGGTGATTTCGGAGTCAACGGCCTATGTTGCCCATAACAAGATGACACGTAATATTTAATTGTGTTTGAGGGAATACCTTCCAACACTAAAATTAAGAACGAAGATGAAGACTGCTAATGGGTGACCTATGTAGATATGTAAATTCCAGGATTATAATTTTAAAAACGTTTACATCTGGCTGCATAAACTAAGACAGATGGGACAAATTGCCTCCTAAAACTAAGGCCGATTTGGCAAAATGGGCTCCTAAAACTAAGGCCATTATCGCAAAATCGGCTACTAAAACTAAGGCCGATATTGCTCAATTGGCTTATAAAATTAAAACCGATAAAGGCCATTATATACGATATATACGACCATTTATTTTTGTTTTAGTGATCCACACTTTCCATAAATCTCATGTTCAGTAACATTCTAGGTCTTCAAGTACATCATTACCTTGTCTCTCTACATCATTAGCTGTCTCTCTACATTATTACCTTGTTTGTCTACATCATTACCTTGTCTCTCTACATTACCGATACAAACAGCTGTTTAGTTCAAGAAGGACGGGGAGAAGGGAAGGCTGGGTGTAGTCAGAGTATTGTGTCTATCTTTACCTCCCCACATATCTACCCTGTACCGCTATGAACGCCTTCTTTGTAGTGACTTTATATGACAATGACAATATGAATGACAATATGAATGACAATATGAATGACATTATGAATGACAATATGAATGACAATATGAATGACAATATGAATGACAATATTAATGACAATATTAATGAGAACATTTATGACAATATTAATGACAATATTAATGACATTAACGACAATATTAATGACAATCGTAATGACAATATTATTGACAATATTGATGAGAACATTAATGACAATATTAATGACAATATTAATGACAATATTAATGAACATATTAATGACAAAATTAATGACAATATTGATCAGTGTGTTCATGTGAAAGGGTGGGCGGTGTGTAACAAAACAAGATTTATAGCAGATAAATCAAGTTTATCTTTGTGAAATCTAATCCAGCATTCAGAGTTTCTTCCAGGCATCTCTTCGCGGGGGCTTAGCCCCCCCCCCCCCCCCCCCCCGAAAATTTTTTACCGCCCCCCCCCCCCCCGGAACGAAATGAAATTTATATAATTTATATAGAAAATATATACTTTTAACCGTGTCCGCCCCCCCCCCCCGAAGAAAGTCTATCGCCCCCCCCCCCCCCCCCGAAAATTTCAAGCGCCCCCCCCCCGGAGAAAAAAGTCTGGAAGAAACACTGCCAGCATTCCCATCGAGAATATGATGAGAGTACGATACACAGGTGGGCTAATGGAAGGGGGGGGGAATAGAATAGCACGCAGATATAAAAGAAAGGAGTGGAGAGTTCAAATGGGTTAATATTTTCACAATAAAATTTAGCTAACAAAAAACAAAAACTTCTTACGAAGTTAATGGTCCACAGGGGCGGGTGAAAATAGTTCACCTGTTTCTGTGACCACGGCATATAAAGGGATGGTGTGGCCAGCACTATGCCCAGCCACCTTTACTTAATCTAACGTGAATAAGCGGGGGGGAGGGGGGACTCATGGACGGAATATCCGGGATCCGAACTCGACACTTCGCAGTCGAATGGTTCACAATTCGACCCCCGCCGCCTAAACAAGATGACATTTGAAAACACGAACTCAGAACGTTATAAATATGAAGTTAGTTCTAGGTTAAGCAAAATGGTTCTTTGCGTTTGAAATTTTGACACATTGTAGTTTAATTTAGTTTGTAAATGATTTTCCCCCACCCTGCACTTTTCACTCACTACCCCCCCTCTCCAAATCTCATGGATTTAATAAGGAGGGAAATAAAAATGTACACTTCAATTCATAAACTACTAACTCTTCAAAATTGTGGCCATGTATAGTTTTCTATTATACAAGATATGTTACAGAGTAACCATTTTATTAAACAAAGTATTCGATTGTAGGTTAGCGGTAGAGCGGTAGAGCGCTAGACTGCTACCCGAAAGGGTCGAGTTAGAATCCGTGTTGAAGTCAATAGAACGTCCCGAAGTCCACCCATCTCTAATGAGTACCTAACTAACGTTAAACCACACTTTCTTAACATATGCCGAGGTTACAGAAACAGGTGGACCTCTACTTCACTTGCCCCGTGGACCGTCAGATTCGAAAAGGGAACTCTTCTATACATTAGATCAGGGGTCTCCAAACTTTTCAGTCCGAGGGCCGCATTAACTATCAAATTTCAGTTCGGGGGCAGTTTCTTCCAGGCATGTCTTTCATTTTTCTGAGCAAAGTTCCTCAGCCACCTCCAACAAACGTTTTTTTCCGTGGACAAAAAGATCTCCGCGGGCCGGATGAGAGGACCTAGCGGGCCGCATCGACCCGCGGGGCCGTAGTTTGGAGACCCCTGCATTAGATGATCTAAGAATAATTCCCGATAGACGCTTGTCTAAATGTTGTTTGCCCCATGGCTATTTTCCCGAATGGACATTGCTAAAATGCGACAATGTTGTCGTTGTACGAATGGGTCAATTGCGCTAAAGCCATATTTCCAAGTGTCGTTTGTCCGAAAATATACTGGAAAAAAATTATTCAATTTTTATATTTGTACAATGTGTCATATCGTTCCATTGAGATTGCCTACATTTACATCTTATTTACTAGCCCACAAATGCTGGGAAATTAGTTACATTACAATCAAAAGTAGACGGAACGAAAAATGCACACATTCAGATATTTTACTAGGACCTCAGTTTTAATTGACCTCATATTGAGTTTACATTCGCTAAAGCTATCTACTTTTTGTTTATCAAAGCATTTATTGTAAGAAGGTAATTATTTTTTTTAAATGAGTTGTACACAATTTTTTTCAAATCCTTTTAAAATTCTAAGCTGCTTAACATTTTAAATGCGATTCGATACAAACTGATATAATTCAGCCAAAACATTCCTTGAGTTGACGACATTCTTTTAGAAACATCATGTATACTCAATTTATAAAATCTTGCTGTATTTCGTAACATTAAAAATATTAAACAGTAATACACCTAAAAAAAATTTTTTTAAATGTAGTTAACTTTTCAGTAGTCATGTTTTTACTCTTAAGTTATTGCTTGATCTAAAACATATGTAAGCTGCAGGTTTTATCAACACATAGAGGCGTAGCGAGGGGGTGGGGGGGCGGACCGCAATGGGTGACACCATTTGGGGAAATGACACCAAGGCAAAAAATAGTAAAATATATAGAGAATTATTTGAGGGGGGGGGGTGGTACAAATCGAAAGTTTGAGGGGGAGAGGGGTGCAAATCAAAAGTTTGAGGGGGGGTGCAAATCGAAAAATTGAAAGTTTGACCCCGGGAAGAGTCGCTACGCTTCTGGGGGGGGGGGGAGGGACACCATTAAGTGCCGCGCCGGGTAACACCCGACCTCAGAGGCGTAGCGAGGGGGGGGCGGGGGGGGGGGGACATATGTCCCCGGGCGCCGACCTTAGGGGGGGCGCCAAATTGAAAGTTTGAGGGGGGGGGGTGCAAATGAAAAGTTAGAGGGGGGGTGCAAATCGAAAGTTTGAGGGGGCGGTGCAAATGAAAAGTTCGAGGGGGGGGGGTGCAAATCGAAAATTTGCTCCCGAGGGGGGCGCCAAATTGAAAGTATGTCCCCGGGCGCCGGGAAGGGTCGCTACGCCTCTGCCCGACCTCGCTACGCCACTGTCCACACATAATCATTTTACCACTTGTATGATACATACTCATCCACGCTGATCTGTATAGGTAGATTGCAATACTAATCTTAAAACTATGCCTCTATTAGAATTAAAATTCTTAAGTTTCTTTTTAAATCATTGACGAAAGCTGATACTGATTGTTTTTATGAAACTTTGATGATTACCATCATAAGCTCTAATGCTCTCGCTTAAAGCTGCGATTTTTAATTGAGTTGCTCGTGACACGTGTTTAAAGTAGGTAAATCAGTTGTTAATCAAATACATTCAGCAGACGGCTAGAATATTACTCACCCTCTCCCTGTTGTGTTAATCATCGTCTGAAGTGTACAGCCTCGGGTGGCGTAACATTGGAGGTTGTGGGGGGTCTGTGAGCCCAGGGCGTCACTTGAAAACTACATATCTAGGTGGCAGATATATCGAGCAAAATGGCGACTACATTTTTTACGTAATCTTGCATGTTCACTTGAAGCGAAAACTATTTTGTTCGGTACTAAATCAGTTCATTTAAAAACTAATAGAAAATCAAATTACAATTATTACACTAATTCTTTAGTGAAAGTCGCAATCAAATAAACCACTATATTTTAATTATGAAAATCTAAGCGTCTAAAACTGAATATCGTTTGTACGCCCAAAATGTTTGTTGTTATTGTTTCTTCAAGTTTGTTTTTTCTCGTTTAAGTAAACCAAACGTATAAAACCATCACAACAAAATTGCATGCACTCCTGGTATATGTAACAATTACTTTGTAATCTATATACTACTAAAACTCAACTTTGTTTACATGTTTGAATATTTATTTGTTTGCCTGATCGACTATTGTGATATGTTCGACTCTATCTGGAAAGCTGTAAAATGGTATGCAGGTAGAGAATAATTTTTTAATGCAGACAGACTGTTGATCACAAATTTATTTAAAGACGTTAATTAATTTATTGATTTATTCATAGTTAAATTAACCGTATTTTTTTTAAAATGTTAATACTTTGAATAAACTTTGTGGGGGATAGTGACGTCCCTTGATAGTGACGTCAGAGTTTTTTGTTGACTCTTTCGTACAATAAAATGGCGGCGTCTATCGAAGAAAATTGTGTTCCCATTCCAAAGTTTAACGCGTTTCTAAATCTAATTTTCTGTCGGTCATAACTTTAACAATACGTCCGTTTGCTGTATTTATTACGTTCCAACACTTATATCAATTTTCAACTGTCTTTTTTCATTTAGTTTTACAATAAATTTCTCTAGATCTAAAGATCAGCTGTCGAAGGAAATTTATGAATCTAGCCTAGATCTAGATCTAGGTCACTAAACTCAATGTAAATTCTAAATCTAGACTTAATGTAAATTCTACATCTAGAATCTATTTCAGGCCTTAATACATCTAGAATCTATTTCAGGCCTTAATTATTTTATATAAATCTTTGTTTGGCTAATTTAAGATAAAATTTAATTTGAAAGTTACTACTTCTAGACTAGACGCTCGGAATCAAGTTGCATCAAAGTATAGTATAAAAATTCATTTGTGACGTCACGAGTAAATAGCTAAGTTTGTAGCGTAGTCCGCTCTCATGCGAGTGGTACAGGTTCTAGACCAATATGTCAATGATATTTTTTTTCAATTTTTTTTTTTTTTAGATGTTAATGATAAAAAATGATAATGATCTGAACTTGGCAGGATACAGGGCAGGTGAAGTAGAGTTCATCTGTTTCTTTGTCCTAACCATATGAAAGGATAGTGTGGTCAGAGACATGCTCGGCTGGAATCGTTTTTTAAACGATAAAAACATGTTGTCTGAGACTTGGCGGGACACTGGGCAGGTGAAGTAGAGTTGAGTAGGTCACATGTGACGTCAGTATATGAAGGGATAGTCCGAAATCGGTGGTTTTCGGTGTTTTTTAAAAGTTAAGAAACATATTTTTGAATGTGGGCTCTGTTTTTGTGACGATAAGTGACACTGCAGTAGCGTAGCGAGGAGGGGGGGGGGGGGCGGGTGGGGAGGCGGGGGGGGGGGAAGGGGAGGCGGGGGGGGGGGGGGGGGGGAAGGGGAGGCGGGGGGGGGGGGGGGGGGGGAAGGGGAGGCGGGGGGGGGAAGGGGAGGCGGGGGGGAGGTGAAGGGGGGGGGACGTATGTTGGGGCGCCAAAATGGTTTGAAAAAATAAATTGAAAGGTTGAGGGGGGTTCAAATCGAAAGTTTGAGTGGGGGGGGGGGGAGGGGGTGCACATCAAAAGTTTGAGGGGGGGGGTTGAAAATCGAAATCTTGGGGGGGGGGGGGTTAAAATCGAAAAGTTTGTCCCCGGGCGCCGGGAAGGCTCGCTATGCCTCTGAGTGACAGACGTGATGTTTTTTGATGGATGACCCCCGAAACCCACAGTTATCCAAGGGATGACGGGTATTCTAGTTTATTATAAAAAAATGGATTTTTTTTAAACTGAGGTAACTTTAAAATATGGAATTTAATTAAAAAAGCACAGATCAATGGGAACAAATTGTCAAAGGTTTTTAGGTAAGGACCTGACGTGGTTTAGTCAAGTTTGTTGTCGACGGCTGTATCCGGCACAAAATGACCAGATTTTTTAGTTACAAATGCAGTGTTTATGCAGTGTCTATTATTGAAGATTGTTTAATATTACTAGCCGTAAGATTCGCATGGAGTTATTTTTTCTAAACAAACAAAAAGTATACCAACTACAGCATTACGACATGCATTATATTTTCCTCACTCAATTTTACATCATCCCACATTGCTGTTTTCCATATCCGTACTGCTGAGTCGGATCTCAATCCGCTTAAACGACATTTCAGTTCCCGGTAATCCATAAGACCGGTTGTCTTAGATTTGCATTATTCCTGCCCCATTCGTATTATCTTCTACTATAAAATAATGTATTATCTTGTATCTTAAATACATTTAACTATTAAAATATTTTTAAAAATATTTTATTGTGCCGGAAACAGATCAGAGTAATGTGTGTAATAAATGTCTGATAAAAAAAAATATTCTCGCATTTTTGTTTCCAGAATTTAAACAGAAAACTGCTGGTATAGTTTCAATTTCATAACTTTTGTTATCTAATATATATTATTTTCGATTTCCAGAAATAGGTGCACAATTAATTGATTACAAGGGATTCTCGGAACTTGGATATAAGAAACAAGTCTCTTGATACATATCTGTTACCATGACGACCAGGTCTGTGGTGATTGCGAGTGTGTTGGCCATAGTGTTGACGCTGAGGGCTGATGCAGGTACGAGTTGGTTTACATGTCGGGTTTACATGTCGGGTTTACATGTCGGGTTTACATGTCGGGTTTACATGTCGGGTTTACATGTCTGGTTTACATGTCGGGTTTACATGTCGGGTTTACATGTCGGGTTTACATGTCTGGTTTACATGTCGGGTTTACATGTCGGGTTTACATGTCGGGTTTACATGTCGGGTTTACATGTCGGGTTTACATGTCGGGTTTACATGTCGGGTTTACATGTCGGGTTTACATGTCGGGTTTACATGTCGGGTTTACATGTCGGGTTTACATGTCGGGTTTACGTGTCGGGACTTTAAGTTTTGTCCAAGTCTTTGAACATCCTTATCTACTGGTGGGGCTTTTTTTCTGATTACTGCCTGACAAACATTTTCTCAATTTGAGCACCGGGATGGTGTGGTCGGGTGGTAGAGCGCTTGACTGCGAGTGTTAAGTTCCGATTTGAGTTAGGACTCGAGACTGTAATCGTTCTGAGTCCAGTCAGCTCTAACTGGTACCTGTCTCACGCTAGAGAAAGCAAAAGCGGCTATGCAAAGTGCTGACCACACACCATCCCTTCTTACGCCGAGGTCACAGAAACATACGAACTGTCTTTCTTCTGCCCTATCCATTGTTAAGTCAGGAAGGATACCCGTTCGGTCTGTTTGTATTCCTACTTTTATCTTTTCCACTTTAATTACGCTGGGCTTTCTAGTGAACCTATGTTATTCTCATTTGAGGTCTTTTAGTCCACAGAGAAGAGGGTAATCTATATTTTATTCAATCTATATTTTATATATTTTATTCACCGAAATAAACACTAGTTGTACGCTGACATTTCCTTCATAGTGAATTTAGGGTCGTTTTTCTCACTCGAGAAGTGAATATATAATAGTTTGGCTAAGGAGCTGACATCGGAATGCAAGCAGATAGCTAAACGATTTGATTCGTGTAATGTTTCATAATGCTTCTGGACCGAACTTGAGAGTAATTGGAAGAAAACAGCATCATTTCATTAACTAGTGCTATTTATTACGTATTGTGTAGTGTTGAGGTGTTTATTTTAGTGTTTACTTCAACTTTTAATTCCGTGTGTTAAGTCATGTGTTTCAGACTATTGTTTGTATTATTATTTAGACCACTATTTACACAATTATTTGCATCATTATTCAGTCTAGTATTTAGATCACTGTGTACAAAAATGTTTCCCTTATTGTTTAGTATATTGTTTACGCTAAAATCTGCTCTATTGCTTAGAACCGTGTTTAGACTAGTGTTTAATGCAGGATTTCTGCCTAAAATTTAGCCTAAAACTAATAGATGGAGCATAATATTAAATGTATGTACATACCTGTATTAGTAACATATATACGTAAATATGTATGTTGAACGTACGTCACTTATGGGGAGGGGAGGGACAGGAACGATTTATTTAAAATTTCTTTTAGATCAATAACTATTGTCAATTTTGTGAGGTAAATAAATTTGGCCTAAATTTTTTAAATGGCCGAATAGACACACTGAGATAATACAAGGTGGCCCGAACATTGGAGCGAGTGTTAAGAATGTTAAGAAAATGTTTGAGTTTATAAAAGATGGTCCCTATTTCTAATTGGCTAACGAAAAACTACTTAAATTAATCCAAAGTTGCACAAACAATACAAAACTGTTCATAAAAGATACGAATATATAAAAGATGGCCTCAATTTCTAAATGGATTATAAGAACCCCTGTATAAGGTAAGGTAGGACGAGGCGGCCCAAATGTTGCACTGGCCACTCAAGCGTAGCGGAGTATTTGGTTTGCTCGCTGTGACTCGAGGCTGGGGGAACGTTAAGTACCACCGCCAGATGGCGCCTCTAGCCTGAAACTGGAGAATTAATTACCTCCACCGGCGCGATTGTAAGAAATAAAATGTAATCAACTCCCCTATAGCCATCAGTAAATCAGTTTTAAAAATATATTAAGCTTTCTTAATCTTAATACAAAACGGTATTATTTTCTCTAAGCGTTAATTATATATTGATGTTGTATTGACGGGATGTAGGTTAATATCTCAGGGTAGCTTAAGAGGAAAGGAAATCCTTTGGCTTTAGAGAAAGAGAGAGAGAGAAGACAGAAAGAGAGAAAAAAAGAGAGACAGAAAGATGTGGATGACCCCCCCCCCACCCCCAACGGGATTTTAGCATACCAATGTAGCCGTGTGCTATACTTCATTGGGTGCTTGTTTGTAAACAGTAGAGTAGGTTTATAGTAGTTACCCGCTGTTAAATTATACTAGATCTACATACTGTTTATATTCTTGCTCAATAACTGACGTCCAATTAATTTTATAAAATGAGATAGAGTGGTAAATAATTAAATGCCAGGAAAAAACACAAGGTTGTTTGAGATAAGGGTATATAAAAGAAAGCTTAAAATAGTTATTGTCAAATCATCGTTATAGTTATTGTCCACGAAGTTATCGTGGTTGAAATATAGTTTCATCTTTTGTAATTACTATGGTCGCTGTTATTCTCTAATCTTGGCTATAGTTATATCTGTGATTGTCCAATCTATTGACATAGTTGTATCTTTGGTGGCCTCAGCTATATTATGTGATTGTTTAATCTATAACCTAAGTATAATATGTGTTTGTCTATTCTATGACAGCAATATCTGTGATTGTCTAATCTATTGACATAGTTGTATCTGTGATTTTCTAATATATGGCCTCAGCTATGTTATGTGATTGTTTAATAAATGACCTAAGTATAATATGTAATTGTCTAATCTATGACAGTTATATATGTGATTGTCTAATCTATGACCTAACTTGTAAAGTGTGATTGTCTAATCTATGACCTAACATGTAAAGTGTGATTGTCTAATCTATGACCTAACATGTAAAGTGTGATTGTCTAATCTATGACCTAACATGTAAATTGCAGTTGTTGTATCGCTAACCATACAATATGTGACTGCGATGTTCAGAGTTTCTTTCAGATATCTCCCCGGAAGAGGGGCTACATGATGTCCACCACACCCCCCTCTCCACCACCGGAGAACGTCCAGACTCTCCACTCACCCCTCCCCCCCCCACCCCTCGGGGACAAAATTTGAAAAACAAGAACACGAACTCAGTCCTCCTGGATGCCTCAAAGCGCCCCGACTGACGTTTCCCTTACAATATTCAATTCAAATTAAACGTAGACAAATGTCAAATCACTGCACAATGTTTTCTAAACACGCTTTCACATATACACAAACCACACTTTCACATACACACAAAACACACTTTCACATATACACAAAACACATTTTCACATACACACAAAACACACTTTCACACACACAGAAAACACAACTTCATATACACACAAAACACACATACACGCAAAACACATTTTCACATACACACACATAACACACATCAACGCAAAACACATTTTCACATACACACAAAACACACATGTACGCAAAACACATTTTCACATACATATAAAACACACATGCACACAAAAACACACTTTCTCATACACATAAAACACACATGCATACAAAAACACACTTTCACATGCACATAAAACACACATGCACACAAAAACACACTTTCACAAACACATAAAACACACATACACACATAAAACAATTCCAACAATCACATCACGGCGGACTATCAGTAAAATGGCCAATGACCGACAGAAGTGGAGGGAGCCTTCTGTGGTGGCCCCATATTTCTTGGACACAAACATGGAAAAGATGATGAAAAAAACTGAACTCAGACTACAGAACAGATGTTATGATCATGAAGTTTGCCTCTTGAATCGTGTTCTACTTTACTAATGAATTACCGACCTTTCTGCTAGTCAGCAATTTAACTGAAACTTGTTCAAATATGAACGAAAAACATTTTAAAAAATCAATATACATGTTAATAAGAAAGGAAGAAATTATTCCCCATCTGTTAGTTAAAAACTGCGACTTTGTAATGATATGAAAATGTTGAAAGTAAACACAAATGGTTGAGACTGCAGAAAGGGAGGCTATTAGCATAAAGTTTTAAGTGTAACTGGTTCAAGTATAATTTTAATATAATTCTATGCAACATGCTTTGCTTAAGTTTTCCAGCTGTTCCGTTTCGCCTACCACTCGTTCGTATAATAATTATATCTGATGCATATTCAATATTTTCCAATACCGTACTGTTTCACTGCTTGCCTGTTGAGTTTAAAACTGTATCGTCTAATTTCATTTACCATACACTCCGTCATTAAATAAACCTGTATCGTCTACTTTCACCTACCATGCGTTACATGTGAATATAAACCTGTATCGTCTAATTCCAGCTATCATACAAAACATCAAAATATAAACATGTTTCGTATACTTACACCTACCAAACTCTACATAATATAAACATGTTTCGACAAATTACAAACATTACAAAATGTAAACCTGTTTCGTCTACTTTCAGCGACCATACCTTACATCTTAATGTAATCCTGTTTCGTCTACTTCCATCTACCATACCTTACATCTTAATATAATCCTGTTTCGTCTACTTACATACATTACATAATGTAATCCTGTTTCGTCTGCTTCCACTAACATTACATAATGTAATCCTGTTTCGTCTTCTTCCACAAACATTACATTATGTAATCCTGTTTCGTCTACTTACATGCATTACATAATGTAATCCTGTTTCGTCTACTTACATGCATTACATAATGTAATCCTGTTTCGTCTACTTCCAGCGACCATAAACCCATGTGACCCCAGCCCATGTGCTGCTACAGAAACATGTGAACTGAGCACCAACGCAACGGCCTACGCCTACGTTTGTTTACGTGAGGAACTTGTTTGTTAGTGACTTACAGCTAGAGTGTCTTGTGTCTTTAGGAAATCGTATCGCTTGGGTGTCTTGTGTCTTTAGGAAATCTTATAACTTGTATGTCTTGTGTCTTTAGGAAATCTTACAGCGTGTGTGTCTTGTGTCTTTAGGAAACCTTATAGCTTGGGTGTCTTGTGTCTTTAGGAAACCTTATGAACCTGTCAATCTCGCTAGAAAACCTTATAGCCTAGTGGTTATGAACATCTGTGTCTTGCTAGAAAACATGAACCTTATTTCTCTCTACAAAAGATAAACCTTTTTGTATCTAAAACACCCTATAAACATATTTGTATCGCCATATACCCTTTTGAGCCTGTTTGTCTAGCTATAAAACCTTCTGAACAAGTCAATCTTTAGAAAACCTTCTAAACCTGTCTCTACAAAACCTTCTAAACCTGTTTCTAGAAAACCTTCTAAACCTGTTTCTACAAGATCTTCTAATCCTGTTTCTATAAACCTTCTAAACCTGTTTCTACAAAACCTTCTAAACCTGTCTGTCTCTACAAAACCTTCTAATCCTGTTTCTATAAACCTTCTAAACCTGTTTCTACAAAACCTTCTAAACCTGTCTGTCTCTACAAAATCTTCTAAACCTGTTTCTACAAAACCTTCTAAACCTTTCTCTACAAAAGCTTCTAAACCTGTCTCTACAAAACCTTCAAAACCTGTTTCTATAAAAACCTTCTAAACCTGTCTCTACAAAACCTTCTTAACCTGTCTCTACAAAATCTTCTAAACCTGTTTCTAGAAAACCTTCTAAACCTGTACCTACAAGATCTTCTAATACTGGTTCTATAAACCTTCTATACCTGTTTCTACAAAACCTTCTAAACCAGTCTCTACAAAACCTTCTAAACCTCTCTCTACAAAACCTTCTAAACCTGTTTCTAGAAAACCTTCTAAATCTGTTTCTAGAAAATCTTCTAAACCTGAATCTACAAGATCTTCTAATCCTGTTTCTATAAACCTTCTAAACCTGTTTCTACAAAACCTTCTAAACCCGTCTCTTCAAAACCTTTTTAACCTGTCTCTACGAAACCTTCTAAACCTGTCTCTACAAAACCCTCTAAAAACCGATAAAGGCCATTATATACGATATATACGACCATTTATTTTTATTTTAGTGATCCACACTTTCCATAAATCTCATGTTCAGTAACATTCTAGGTCTTCAAGTACATCATTGCCTTGTCTCTCTACATTACCTCCTAAACCTGTTTCTATAAACCTTCTTAACCTGTTTCTTCAATACCTTATAAACCTGTCTTTCTCTACAAAATCTTCTAAACCTGTCTTTCTCTATAAAACCTTCTAAACCTGTCTCTACAAAACCTCCTAAACCTGTTTCTTCAAAACCTTCTAAACCTTTTTCTACCAAACCTTCTTAACCTGTCTTTCTCTACAAAACCACCTAAACCTGTCTCTACAAAACCTCCTAAACCTGTCTCTACAAAACCTTCTAAACCTGTCTCTACAAAACCTACTAAACCTGTTTCTCCCGTGTCCCCAGAGAGCGGGTACCGCCAGGGTGACTGCAGCTTTAACGCCTACGTTAGCTGTGACCAGTACGCCCAGTGCAAGGACGCAACAGACGGCCGCTCTTTCACATGTACGTGCCCCGCTGGTGCTACAGGGGACGGGTTCAAAACCACCGTAGGCGGAACTGGGTGTAAGCTTGGTAAGTCTCGGGAATTTACTCTGTGTATATTTGTTACAGTAAGCTTAGGAATTTTTTATTTTAAATTATGAGATAGTATGTGAGATTATGCCCATCTGTGTATGAGAATCATTAAACGTAGGTAACAATTTAGAAGAAAAAACAGTGTTTCAGCATTTACAAAAATTAGAGAAATGCTGATTATTTCCCATAATACAACAAATATAATTGTAAGGGAGGTAACCAGAAAGATAATTTGCCAGCCGACTTGTATTTAACACCCGTGTTTCAGCTTACAAGCCGTGCGCAACCAACACTGACTGTCCTCAGTATGGAACCTGCAGCAAAGATTACAAGTGTGTCTGCAATGCTGGTTACCAAGGTGATGGCTACACCTGTACCGGTAAGTTATTGATCATATTATTCTCTCATCATGCATACATATATATATATATATATATATATATATATATATATATATATATATATATATATATATATATATATATATATATTTAATCATACCCGATGTTTTATATGAAAAACAATCCCTTTGTAATGCAAATCACATTTTATTTTCCTCTCACTCAGACATCAACGAGTGTATGACCTCTAACCCCTGCGACCCCAATGCCATCTGTAGCAACTTCCCCGGAAGCTTTAAGTGTGTCTGCGACTCCAAGAGGAATTACGTTGGCGATGGCTTCAAGTGTGTCTGTGAGTTTGTTAAAATTGTGTTGGACATAGTTTAGTAATTAATTCAAATGTAATCTGCTAGCAATGGACTCGAAGGTGTCAGATAAAATTAAGCAAATTCTTTGTTTTAAATAGTTAAATATTGGGGGTTTCCCCAACACATTTAAGTATTAGGGGTCAAAATGTCGCGCGCCTTTGGTCTGTTGACTCCGAATTCCCCTCCCCCCTTTCCTCAACCTCACGGGCGTTGTGGTTTTTGCTGCATGGTAGTTCTGCCCCTGAATTTCGACCAAAATGTGTTTTTAAAATGCATGTTAATGCCAAAATAGATTGAAATTAAAGAAAAAACATTTGTTGTAGTTTTCTGTGGTAGCAACAACGATTGTGACGCTCCCCGCGCCCTCTGTAATGACGTCAACACGTGTGTGTGCATCAAAGGTTACCAAGGCGACGGCTTGAACTGCACAGGTAAGATAGTGATACTCAACGTCTTTAATTTATTTCATTTAATAAAATCTTAAAAGTTTGATGTTTTACTACAAAATTAAAATTGATTTTAAAATAATTTAACCTTAAAGGTGAATGCGGTTTCTTAAATATCCCGGAATATTGTTTTTAATGATTTTAATACTTTTGTTTTTACAAACTTTTAAACTTTTTAAACTAAACCGAGAAACACGGCGAAAACCAGGCAAGAATCCTCTTTAGACCTAGCGATCCATTGGGCAGAGCTCACGTGTTTCTTGGCATCGGCATATGAAGGGAAGCTGTGGTCAGCACTTTGCCCTGCCGTCTTTACTTTCCCCAACATGCGTTAGGTACCCATCAGAGCTGGGTGGACTCAGGACGTTCTACTGACTTAGACCCGGATTCGAACTCGGATTCGGGTTAGCAGCCTAGCGCTCTATAGTTGGTCACGCCGTCCCTTAATAAAAACCAGTGAGGCGATAATTTAACAACAGAAAAAATAAAGATCTGTAGCTCTAAAATGTCAACACCACGAGAAAAATGTAATGTGTTCTAATAAAGAAAATGTGCTGAAGCTATGGTAAGCTAACATGTGCTTTTCATCTCTCTAAAGATAAGGACGAGTGCGCCCCTAACGGCGGTAACAACTGCAACGTCAACGCCAACTGCATCAACACCGCCGGCAGCTTCCAATGTGTCTGCAAAAATGGTTATGCCGGAAATGGAGTCAACTGCACAGGTGAGGACTAAATTACCCGGCTGGCGAGCACTAAGTACCCGGCAAGGGACCGGAAATTTTTTAGGCAACGTAGATCTAAAAAAAATGTGTAGCGACGATCTATGTTCAGCTATTAATATGTTGGGCATTCTTTGCCATATGAATACTTTAAGTGAAGGGTAAGGCTTAGCTTTAACTATGGATCATGCTTATATTCTACTGCCAACAGATTAGTTGAAATGTAAATATATTCATACCGATTCGTATTTAAGTATCCTCAGATGTAATGACTAAATTGTGTGATATTGATGTTTCCGTTGAATTGACTAAATATAAAGAGATGAATATTTCCATATATATATATATATATATATATATATATATATATATATATATATATATATATATATATATATATATATATATATATATATATATATATATATATATATATATATATATATATATATATATATATATAAATATATATATATATATAAATATATATATATATATAAATATATATATATATATATATATATATATATATATATATATATATATATATATATATATATATATATATATATATATATATATATATATATATATATATATATATATATATATATATATATACGAGAAAAATGGCCCGTTGAGGAAGGATACAACGGGCGCTAGGCTGATAGTGCTGTCTATTTTCTCGGTACTTTAATGTATACAAAATATAGTCATAGGCATATCCCTAAACCATGCACCTAATCGCATTCATGACAAAAGTCGCATTTAGAGTTTCTTTCAGGCAACTCTACTTGTGAGGAGGGGGCTTCGGCCTCCTCCCCCCCCCCCCCCCCCGCCACATACACACTCCAAAACATGTCTACCGTCCCATTCAACGAAATATAATTATATACTTTTTCCAGTGTCCGCCCCCTCCCAGAAAATTCTACTTCCGCCCCCGAAAATTTCAAGTACCCCCACCCCTCTCCGGGGAGGAAAAAGTCTGAAAGAAACACTGGTTGCATTTGTAAATCATACAAACTAAAGGAAGAATCTGGGCGGGGCTTCGCCCCTACCGTAAGAGATGCTTGAAAAAAAAACTGCACTCTAAACACTTTTTAGATTAGAAAAAGGTCCTCCCTCCGGGGAGAAAAAAGGCTGAAAGAAACACTTGTGTCGCGCTTAGCCACTACCCGAAGAATTGCATTAAAGAAATTGCAAGAAAAACACTTTTTAGATTAGACACATTCATTAGGCGGTAATTTTATTATAGAGTATCGATGAAGAAATTTCTTTTGAGTTGGGGAGGGTGGGGGCTCAGACGTTCTTACGCGGGGGTGGGGCTTCGCTTGTGTTTTCTCTAGAGCGTTCTTGTCAGATACACAGATAGATACACAGACAGCGAAACTATTAGTATTAATATATATATATATATATATATATATATATATATATATATATATATATATATATATATATATATATATAGTGTGTGTGATATTGATGTGTTTTCCGACAGCCTTGCCCAGATCATGTAAGGACATTCCAAACTTTGTCAGCGGCAACAAATACGTCATCGATCCTGACTTTACCGGACCAGCCAACGCCTTCACTGTAAGTCAATCACTCATATCTGACTGTAAATCAATCACTCATATCTGACTGTAAGTCAATCACTCATATCTGACTGTAAGTCAATCACTCATATCTGACTGTAAGTCAATCACTCATATATGACTGTAAGTCAATCACTCATATCTGACTGTAAGTCAATCACTCATATCTGACTGTAAGTCAATCACTCATATCTGACTGTAAGTCAATCACTCATATCTGACTGTAAGTCAATCACTCATATCTGACTGTAAGTCAATCACTCATATCTGACTGTAAGTCAATCACTCATACCTGTCTGGATGTCAATCACTCATATCTGACTGTAAGTTAAATCTTTCATAAATTATTGTAAGTCAATTCTTTATATTTGACTGTAAGTCATTCTCTATCATCTCACCGTAAGTGAATAATTTGTGATCACCTACATCTAACTGTAAATCAGTCATTTATGGCATACAAATTGTCAGTAAAGCGTTTACAGTCTATGACTGCATATTTAACAGCTAAATCTCACACACCCTACCTTTAAGTGTTTCACGTTTAATCTCTAATGTAAGCTCAGTTTACAAATTAATGCTCATCTTGCATCTTCTCCTAACATTCGTGTGTAACATTCTTCTCCAATTTGCTGAACTCTTGTACGGGTAAAATGTGAAATGGACAACAAAGCTATTCTTACCAACTACTCTTCTATGTTGTATTCTTGTGCTAGTATTTTGCGAACTGGACAACAAAGCTATCCTAACCACTCCTGGATGCTGTATTCTTATACAGGTATTTTGCGAACTGGTGAACAAAGCTATCCTAACCACTCCTGTATGTTGTATTCTTATACAGGTATTTTGCGAACTGGTGAACAAAGCCATCCTAACCAAAGTGCCAGCAACCGGACCTTTCCCCAAGGTCGTCCCCGACACCCCAGGTCCAGTGGACATCACCTACGAGCCAAAACCCAGCGACATCACCCCCCTGCTGGAGAACTCTGTCTTCTGCTACCAGTCATTCTCGTAAGTTGTTTGTTTACCTCATATGTTAAATGTTACCTAACTGCTACCAGTCATTCTCGTAAGTTGTTTTTTACCTCACATCTTAAATGTAACCTAACTGCTACCAGTCATTCTCGTAAGTTGTTTTTTACCTCATATCTTAAATGTTACCTAATTAATATCAGAATATTTCGTAAATTTTAATAAAGTAAATTAAAGTTCTTTTTTAACTTGGAGCTGGCGATTTAAAGTTCATTTGTTTCTGTGACCTCGGTAAATGAAGGGGTAAAATTAGGTTCAATATTCTTTAAATTGTACGTTCGGAAAAAACCATTCTCTTTCTTTGTACTCGAAATATATTAACATTTGTGTCATCAGCTCAAAGCTTAGCTGCTAGAGTTCTGCCATATTCGTATGTGTCTGTAGCAGTGTTTCATCCCCTCCCCCGGACGAAATGGAATTTATATAGAAAAAAATATACTTTTAACACTGACCGCCCCCTCCTCAGGAAAATTTCAAGGGCACTCCCCCCCCCCCCCCCCCCCCAACCGGAGAAAAAAGTCTGGAAGAAACACTGGTCTGTAATAGATTCACCGTCACAACGTATCTGTTGGTCAGTTGTATGTATCGTTAGCTCAGCTGACCCTTTCCAGAGTTTTTTTCACGCATCTCTTCAGTACTACTGTCTAAATAAACAGCACAGTTGTGTGTATACATGCAGTTGTAATTTCGAAGTTGTGTGTAGGGCCTACACATGCAGTTGTCGCTTTTTAAATAAATAATACAGTTGTGAGTATCAATGCAGTGTTTATTTTTTTATAAGCTAACATAACTGACTGTAACAAAACATTTCAGATTCTCCTGTAACAGAGGATTCAAACTCCTACCAGATACCGCCTGGTACGATGCTTACGGCAAACAACACAGAAACTGGGGAAGCAATAAAGATGGGATGGTCAGTTATTTTTTTTATTACTTTCTCGTATACAGAGTATAGAGGAAGTATTGTAATCGTGCACAAAAATCACATGAAATATTGACAGTTTTCATCGTTTTACACCTCAGAACTTCATCAAATAGTATACGGGACTTATTTTAATCGGGCAAAAATTATAAATGCAGATTTTTTGGCGTTCTACGGAAAAATTGGGCTTTGCAATTCTGTCCGTATGTCTCTGTGTCTGTGTGTGTGTATATGTATGTATGTGTGTATGTATGTCTGTGAACACGATAACTTGAGTGCCGTTACAGCTAGGTTGATGAAATTTCATGTACAGGTATTATATCAAATTTGTAGTTCTGTATCAACTTTTCAGCGATTTCCGGTAACCGGAAAATAAAGCTTTTTCTTTTGATTTTTCAAAAGCGTATAACTTCAGAACTGTTTAAGATATATAAATACAATTTCACTTAGAAGTAGAAAATCTAATTTTCTACTTCACTCTAATTTTGAGTAATTTCCGTTGACCAGAAGTAGTAATTTAAGCTATTTCTGATTTCTTAATAACGCATCTATATATATAATTCTCCTCTTCGAGCCGTTAGAAAACAAGCTGCAAGCGCCTCCTTGCAGTCCCCTCTCTTTCTCTCTATCACTATCACTACCACCCCCACCCCACCCCAACATTGTCTGGTGAGCGGTGTTCACTCTAAATTTTTACAAAGCTAAATGTTTACAAATCGTAGAGCTGTACAGCCGGGTTTCTATTATGGGCAGATAATTTAGTTCGATTTTAAACTTACAGGAGGTAACTAAGAAATAACTAAGAGGAGGCTGCTTTCACGGGGGGGGGTGTAGTATCGGGGTTAGTGGAAAGGGGGGGGGGGGTTAGTGTTTTAAAGCAAATATTTTCAGTGGCAGCATTGGTACTGTCGAATTTACAAATTATGAATTACTGAAAAGTAGAAAATAAAACAACTAAATAGCGGCGTATGATACGCTGCGGGTCGGCTCGTATGAATTAATAAAGTACTAATAACAGTCTGCACTATTATACACATTGTTAGACATTCACTTGGTGAGCAATTATTTTTAGCGCAATTTCCATTCTGGAGAATTGCGTTTATTAACCCGTCATTTCTGGATGTATGAATGTATGAATTAATGGATGTGTGTCCGCAGCTTTAAGTCGTATCTTCTCCTCAACGAAGCAATATCGATGACTAGTTCCAAAAGCAATTATGTTAAGCAAGTTACGAGGATGCACATAGGCCAACAAAGTTCCGGGTTTCTTTCATGGATTTCCCGAAAAAGCCAAAAAACCTCGAAAAAATGCAGTTTTTTGGCCCATATCTCGGCAACCAGACCACTTAGCGACTTGAAACATTTGCCAATCGATTTCTGCCATAATTTAGAATAATATTGCCGAAGAAAGTTTTCAAAAATATCCTTTCGTTCAGTCACAAAAAAAAATTTTGAATTAATTAAAATTTGGACCGAATTAGTAGGCATTTTTATCCAACCACACCACACGCGTCATCACGTTCAATAGCTACGCCATCACGTTCAATGGCTGCGACGTCACGTTCGGTAGCTATGCGCGAAATGGTTTTTAGTCATGTAACTCTATTGTAAATAAAACATGTAAAATACTGAAAAAAAAATAAACCGGGAGTGATCTCCCCTAAACTTTCTCGAATATTCTCATATAAAATAACAGGGGATGGGAACTCGGGCTATAGACATGATTTTTAATCCATTTTAAATACTTAGAGTTTTAAAAATAGAATAAAATCTCGTAGGCAAATTAATTGCACACCAAGTGAACGCCAAATAAAATAGCGCATAATAGTGCGCAATATTATTAGTACTTTTAAAATTTACATTAGTTTTTTGAGAAATCGGAAGTAGCGTAAAGTACTACTTCCAGTCAACGGAAATTACTCAAAATTTAAAAGAAGGTAGAGAATTAGATCTGTTACTTACGTGTGAAATTTCATTTATCTATCTGAAATAGTACTCAAGTTATAGGCTTTTGAAAAATTCAAAGTAGGAAAAGTACCACTTCCGGTTATCGGAAATCGCTCAAAAGTTGATACGGATCTACGATTTTGATAAAATACTTATATATGAAATTTCATCAACCTAGCTGTAATGGTACTCAAGTTATCGTGTTTACACACGGACAGACAGACAGACACACAGACAGACACACAGACATACGGACAAGATTGCAAAATTATGTTTTTCCGTATCAGTGAGGTGTAAAACGTCGAGATTTGTAAAAATCTCGATTTTTTTTTTTTTTTTTTGCACGATTACAAGACTTTCTCTATACTTCGTATATACGAGAAAGTAATTAATAAAAAACGTTTTAATAACTAACAAATGGTTTTACTAACCCTGCTCTTGATTTACGCTACGACAGAGCTATTTTTAGATAACATAAGGAAATTGCGCTAAAATTGTCACTAGACTTTTTAATTACCTTGTTTCTCCGATAATCTATTCTATTTTCAAAAGTTTAAGTAATTAAAAATGGATTAACAATATTGTCTATATCCCGATGTGCCATCCCCCGTAGTGTTATATAAAAATATTCGAGAAAGTTTAGGGGAGATCACCCCGCAATATTATTTATTTATTTTTATAATACTGGCATATTTTTAAACCTATCTAGAAGATAATCCTTTTCTTTAAAAAAAATATCGCACTAAAATTATTTCAAGCAGAAAAAGGCTTTATTTAGTGGGTATTCTGATATCATTTCCAAATTTTAAGTTAAGCTCAAAGGTTTTAGTTAATTTTTTAATGCTTTTTAATGTCTAAAGATTTGTTGGTTTTATAACAGTTCGTTGTTTAAAGTACGCAGTTAAGGAAATATAGAGAATCAATGTTGTTTTAGAGTCTACCAGCTCAGATGATTTTTTTAAATCATTGAAAATCATTGAAAAAAATAATTTTTAAGCGTTTTGAGAGTAGGTCTATATACAGAATACAGTAAAGAAAAAATATTTTTTAATTTAAACATGTACTTTAATTAAAAACTAATTGTTCCATGTCTTCAACATTATGCACTGAGGTGATAATTTTTAAGACAGTTGTAGATCTTGTTGCAAAAAAGATACACGTTGCGCTTGTCACAAACTGTTTGAGCATATGCTTTACATGATGGGTATTTGCACTTGTCACGTGCACCAGTCCATGAGACTTGGTGTCCACTTTGGTCCAGGAGTTCCAGTGCCAACACTGATCCAGGAGATTCAGGTTCCACATTGGTCAAGGAGATTCAGGGTCCACACTGGTGCAGGAGATCCAGGGTCCACACTGGTGCAGGAGATCCAGGGTCCACGCTGGTCCTGGAGATTCAGGGTCCACACTGGTCCTGGAGATTCAGGGTCGACACTGGTCCTGGAGATTCAGGGTCCACACTGGTCAAGGAGATTCAGGTTCCACACTGGTGCAGGAGATCCAGGGTCCACACTGGTCCAGGATATCTAGGGTCCACACTGATCCAGGAGATTCAGGTTCCACATTGGTCAAGGAGATTCAGGTTCCACACTGGTGCAGGAGATCCAGGGTCCACACTGGTCCAGGAGATCCAGGGTCCAAACTGGTGCAGGAGATTCAGGGTCCACACTGCTGCAGGAGATCCAGGGTCCACATTGGTAAAGAAGATCCAGGGTCCACGCTGGTCTTGGATATTCAGGGTCCAAAGTGGTCCAGGAGATCCAGGGTCCACACTGGTGCAGGAGATCCAGGGTCCACACTGGCCCAAGAGATCCAGGAAGATATTCTGGATCAACAAGAGCATCTACATCATATAATTCTTTACCTTCACTCAAGTCACCTATTTCACTAAAGTGATCTGCTATGTATTGTAGTTCATGCTCAGTGAGAATCTTCCTTTGATTTCATAATGAAGTTGCTGAGACTAGAAGAAAATCAAGGTACTATATAATGACCAATTCTAATGTATAAAGAAAAAAATAGTTCAAAAATAGGTCAAATAAAGTATGAATAGATTTTGAACAACAACACAAACGAGATGTAATACTAACATTAAGTAATAAGGAATTTTTTTTTTTAATTTCAATACAAGTTTATCCGACTTTGATGAACGTTGAAACATAAATGAAAAATGCTAAGATAAAAAACGTTGTGAGCATGCACGAATTTGAGATCGGCTTGACGGTAGTAAAAATCTAGGTCACTTAGACATGCGCAGGCTGTTCGTTAACATTATAGCTGTCAAACCGCGCGATGCACAGAATCAAACATGTTTTGCCTAATATTTAATGGGAAGGCAACTGGTAGGTTGCAGCTCTGCATCATTATGCATTTAAGGGTTAAAATTTAAGCAAGACTTTCTAATTGAATTAACAAAAATGAGAACCTTGTTTGTAAAAGCCTATGCATTTTTTTTAAACTCGATTTGAAATGGAATTAACAAAACCCTGACCCTTACTTCTAGTGCGCATGTGGTGAGGTCAAGAGCTGCCCATCCAGCTGCTACTGTGACGGTACCCAGACCTCTGTGACCACCGAGACCGCCAACGTCCTGGACAAGAGCCAGCTGCCCGTGGTGAGGATCGACTTCAACCAGACGACCACCAACAAGGGCGCGGTGACTGTGTCTCCTCTCGTCTGCTCAGACACGCCCTCAGGTAACAATCAGCGCTGAGCTCTGAATACAATAGAAAACTGCACAAAAGTACTCCCTTTGTAAATTCAAGCTTACTCCATAGCCTTACGTACATTTTTACTTTCTCGTATATACGAAGTATAGAGAAAATCTTGTAATCGTGCAAAAAAAAAATAATCGAGATTTTTGCAAATCTCGACGTTTTACACCTCACTGATACGGAAAAACATAATTTTGCAATCTTGTCCGTATGTCTGTGTGTATGTGCATGTGTGTCTGTGTGTCTGTAAACACCGGAAGTGGTACTTTTTTTACTTTGAATTTTTCAAAAGCCTATAACTTGAGTAATATTTCGGACAGATAAATGAAATTTCACATGTAAGTAAAAGATTTAATTCTCTACCTTCCTTCAAATTTGAGTAATTTTCGTTGACCGGAAGTAGTAATTTACGATTTCTAAAAAAAAAGAATGTAAATTTATAAAGTACTAAAAATATTCCGCACTATTATGCACATTTTCTTTGGCGTTCACTTGGTGTGCAATTCCTCTTTCTACGAGATTTTATTCTATTTTTAAAACTTTAAGTATTTAAAATGGATTAAAAATCATGTTTAGCCCGAGTTCCCATCCCCTGTTGTTTTATATAAGAATATTCGAGAAAGTTTGGAGGAGATCACTCCCTGAGTATTTAAGTAAACGATTACACATTACTGATTTGTAAGAAAATTTAAACTCGCACTGAAGTGTTTAGTTAAAGTACTTTTCATTTTGCTATTGTTTAATTATTTCACTAAAGAAATGTCCCAATTTTCCTATTAATTTTCCTATTAACTCTCTACCAGCTGTAGTACCGTGCTATTATTTATTGTCCCAATATTCCTTATTATTTCTCTACTAGCTGGTGTACCCAAAAACTGCCACGATGCGAAGTTCACCTACAAGTACAAGGACTCCGGAGCCTACTACATTGACGTGGATAGTGCAGGTATTCTGGAACCGTTCCTTGTCTACTGCAACCTGGATTATTATCACGTGGGTGTCACAAGAATCCCACCTCTCAGGTAATGACTTTGAAATTTCAGATCACAAACTAGATATCCCAGATGGTGGGTGTGGGTCTTAAGCAGGCGAAGTAACTAAACTACACGAATGTTTTCAACACAACCGTATGTCTTATTATTATGTTCCTACTGTCGGCTTTACTTTGATGTTTAAATTAAAGTTGTGCTCTCGTTTTCATGGACGCAGGCGTGCAAGAGTAAAAAAAAATATTAATTTTAAAACCGTTCTCAATAATGTAAAAGTCAATGGTGAGATTAATCCCACTTGTAGTTTTAAATCTTTTTCTTTTGAAACACGATGAAAATCTTAATTTAATTAAGGGGAAATAAATGTAACTTTAACATACATTTTAAAAACTTTTAATGTGTACATCCAAACATCACACTATACATTTTTTTATGCATGGTTTCAGCCCAGTCGTGACCCCAACCACACCAGATGGCACCAGCGTGGACTACACCACTGATCTCCCCAGAATTCTGGGACTCATCTCAGGATCTGTTTTCTGCTCCCAGTCTGTAGAATTTACATGCCAAGTAAGCTCAACAATTTCAAAGTCTGCTTGTGTGCGTGCGTCATTGGTGCGTGTGTTTGTAGGTGCGTGTTTGGTCTTTAGATTAATCTGCGGTGGTTTTATTTTAGGAGTATTATTTTTGCTAATGAAAAATTAGACTTGGTTTTTTTTTGTTGCATTACCAGAGCTACATCATAGAATTTAAATACGTATAATATTGGAAGTCTTAACAATTTTTTTCAAAAGACATAGCACATCCAGGGGTCTTTAGAAAGTCACTATCTTCTTATTTTTAAATAGTCTTATTTATGTCTAATATATAATGCAGCTGACATAATACACGCCTTTGTTATTTTGCTCGACCTCCAAATGTATCTGAAAGCACACTGATTATGTCAAAATGACTCAACCGTTTTGGGCTAATAATTGTTAAACTTTAGCGCTAGTGCAGCCCTTCTTTCTGTATTAAAAGCTACGCTTTTAGACCCGTGGGGCAGATGAAGAAGGGCTCACTGTGACCACGGCATAGTGTACTGTGATAACGGGCCTTCCCTCTATATTAAAACACCCTTCTCTACCCTCAGAGCTCCAGACTTATGGCCGGCGGAGGCTACCTGACCGTAGCTGGCGACAAACGCAAGCTTAACTACTTCGCTGGTGCCAACGGTGTCCAGGGATCCTGCGGCTGTGGAACCACCAACTCCTGTGACGCTCCAAACGTCAAGTGCAACTGTGACATCGGCGACGGGGTCACCAGAAGCGACTTCGGTCTCGTGGTCAACAAGACGGACCTGCCAGTGGTCAAGCTAACCGCTGAAATTGGGGACAGGAAGAGCGGAACTTACACATTGGGTCCACTGCAGTGTGCTGGCAGGCCTTTTGGTAAGACCAGGAAATATAATTTATGTTTTAGCTGAATAATAACTCACTCTATATTTCAGCCATTTACCCTTAAAGATCCACACATCTAATAAAATACTTTATATTTCAGCCATTGTACCAAACTGATCCACAAACCTAATAAATTACTATACATTTCAGCCATTGAACCAAACTAATCCACAAATCTAATAAATTACTATATATTTCAGCCATTGAGCCCAACTGCGAGAAGTACAGACAGGCTGGCGTTACCCGTACAGGCACTTACCTCATCGACCCAGACGGCTCCAGTAATTAATTTTAATTAATGCAATCAACCTAATTAGACTTTCATTAACAATTTGTTCATATTTAATTTTCACTCGAATTTCAAGAAAAAAATGTGTTTTAATTGGGAGTGTAAACAGAATTAAATAATTTAAAACAACATCTACACTTAATCTTAAGGTAATAAATATTGCAAAACCTAAAAAACAGAGAACTTAATTAGTTTGATATTGTTTTCCAGCCGGCCCTCTCGCTCCATTCAATGTACTTTGTCTATTCACGGAGAAGCCACCTCAAGGAAAAACTGTAGTGAACCACAAGGACATGTCACCGGTAAGTTAATTTGGGTTATCAACGCGTTTAAAATATAATTTGTAATTGTAGTTTTACGCAGAGGCGTAGCTAGGGGAGAGAAGGTGGGGCGACTGCCCCGGGCGCCGAGCCTAACGGGCGCCAAATAAGGTAAAAAAAAAAGTTCTTTATGAGCTTCATTTCTGAATTAAACTCAATTAAAATTCCAGACTAATTAAAATAAAAACTTTTACGGGATAGTGACTTGCAAAGAACGGCCTTCACATTTCGTCAAAATTAATGTAAATAAATATATAAATGGGCGGGGGCGCAAAACCGATAGTTCATTCCGGGTGCTAAAATGGTTCGCTACGCCTCTGGTTTTACGAGGTGCTTTTTTCAAAACATAAGGTTTTTCCTGTTTGTGTTTTTTTTAATTTTCTCGCTTTGAAAAATTAACTTAAACTAATTAATCAATGGGGCTAAAATATGTTTTAGCTAAATTAATTTTTTTTTAATAAAATACAATGTGACTGGTAGATGTCTAAATGTATTTACCGTGTGTATTTTTGACTAAATTTTGCATTTAAAAAAAAAACAACTTTTAAAACCATATTGTTGTTATTTGTTATCACCGCCCCAGAAAACCATTAAAGATTCCGTCTGGACATTTGAATACCTACAAGCCAGCAAAGCCCAACTGGAGGGTCTCAAATCTAGGTCAACTTACTGCTTCCAGGAGGTCACGGTCAGCTGTAAATCTGTTGACGTACAGGGTAAAACTTTTCTTTTACAAATAGATCTAGATTCTTCTTACATGCCTTATTGTGTAAATCTGTTGATTTACAGGGTAAAACTTTTCTTTTACAAATAGATCTAGATTCTTCTTACATGCCTTATTGTGTAAATCTGTTGATTTACAGGGTAAAACTTTTCTTTTACAAATAGATCTAGATTCTCCTTACATGTCTTATTGTGTAAATCTGTTGATTTACAGGGTAAAACTTTCTTTTACAAATAGACTTTTCTTACATGTCTTAGTGTGTAAATCTGTTGATTTACAGGGTAAAACTTTCTTTTACAAATAGATCTAGATTCTTCTTACATGTCTTAGTGTGTAAATCTGTTGACGTACAGGGTATATATTTATTTTACAAATAGATTCTTCTTACATGTCTTAGTGTGTAAATCTGTTGATGTACAGGGTAAACATTTTTTTTACAAATATACTTTTCTTACAAGTCTTACAGTCTTAGTTTGTAAATCTGTTGATGTACAGGGTATATCTTTAATTTACAAATAGATTCTTCTTACATGTCTTAGTGTGTAAATCTGTTGATGTACAGGGTAAACAATTTTTTAACAAATAGACTTTTCTTACAAGTCTTACAGTCTTAGTTTGTAAATCTGTTGATGTATAGTGTATATCTTTATTTTACAAATAGATTCTTCTTACATGTCTTAGTGTGTAAATCTGTTGATGTACACGGTAAAACTTTCTTTTACAAATATACTTTTCTTACACGTCTTAGTGTGTAAATCTGTTGATGTACACGGTAAAACTTTCTTTTACAAATATACTTTTCTTAAACGTCTTAGTGTGTAAATCTGTTGATGTACACGATAAAACTTTCTTTTACAAATATACTTTTCTTACATGTCTTAGTGTGTAAATCTGTTGATGTACACGGTAAAACTTTCTTTTACAAATCGACTTTTTTTTTACACGTCTTAGTGTGTAAATCTGTTGATGTACACGGTAAAACTTTCTTTTACAAATAGACTTTTCTTACATGTCTTATTGTGTGAATCTGTTGATGTACACGGTAAAACTTTATTTTACATATAGGTTTTTCTTACATTATCGTTGTGTGAAGCATGGCGCATATACTTCTAACTAGCCATGGGTACCCATTTCACGTGAATTAAAGGCCTATATAATATTTTTATGTCAATTATAGAAAATGTTAAAGTTGTTTGAGAAATATATTTTATAATTATTTTATAAAAAATTTATTCGTCAAAACGCAATGTGCTCTACTACGAGTTGAACGATATTAGTGGCAAATAAAAGAAATAACTAAATAGCTAAAAAAATCCGACTCATTTAAAATTGTAGTTATGGTGTTTTTGTCTTTTAAAAACACCTATTTTAGCTGAGCATGGGTCTGACCACACAATCGCTTTATATGCTGAGAAGACAGAAACAGGTGAACTCTACTTCAGCTGCCTCGTGTCCCGCCAACTTTATCACTCAGATTTTTAAAAAAAAAATTATTTAAGATGGACTTAATGTGGCTCGAACCCGTACCACCTTCATGATAACTATTACACTGCCACCTCAGCTATTTAGGCACGTTAACTTTGTGGATGAATAAATGGGATATTTAGGAAACTTAAGTTACGTGAATAAGCCCTATTATTTCAAATGAAATTATCTAATTCCATAGCTAAGCAAACAAAGATTTATACAAAATAATAAAGGCCTGAAATATGTTAGTATAGAAACTCATTATCGGCGTACATCTTGATAAGTAGATCTAAATCAAATTTGAATGAGATCGTTCATTTCTTTATATTTAAAATTGGAAGATGACGCCATTAGTTTTGTTTTCTTTCCTTCATGTGACGTCATTGTTTCTTACGTTCTTGTCACGACAATAAACGCTTTAGTTAGAAATCTGATTTACATTCGAATATGCCTTTATTTTTATTTTCCTTCTTTGAATAAAATTTAGTTTATATATTTATACCGTCCACCATATTATTTTCAACAAAAGTCCTTATCTTTAAGTTCTCCATATATTGCTAAACAGGCTGACGACGTTGCCAAAAGTATTGCGGACAGAGAGAGAGAGAAGTGCGCACATGGTCTTTTATATTAGGATAAACCGGGAGTGATCTCCCCTAAACTTTCTCGAATATTCATATATAACACTACGCGGGATGGCAACTCGGGATATGGACAATATTGTTAATCCATTTTTAAATACTTAAACTTTTTAAAATAGAACATAATCTCGTAGAAAAAAGAATTGCGCACCTAGTGAACGCACAACAAAATGTGTATAATGTTGCGGAATATTATTAATACTTTATAAATTCACATGCGTTTTTTTTTTTTTTTTTTTTTTTTTGAGAAATCGAAAATAATTTAAAATAACCTTCCTAAAAATACTTTAAATATATTTCAAACAAACATCATAAAATACATTATTTTGCTGCAAAAAAAGGTACAATTAAGATGACGTGTTGAACCGTTCATGTTCCATCCTTCTTCAGGTGTGTTATACCAGGGTAGTACAACAGACTTGAAAAAACTGTCGGCTATTTTAGACTCTTGTGGTACCGGTGGTACATCTTGCCAATGCAACGGAGCCGGGAGTAGGTAAGTTTGTAAAGGTGTCGTCCGTCTGCTGGTTGACCTATAATCTGCTGGTTTAATTATCATGTGGTCTGCTAGTTTAGTCTGCTAATTTTCCTGTGGTCTGTTAGTTTACCTGTGGTCTGCTAGTTTACCAGAGTTTCTTCCAGACATCTCTTCTTCCAGCCCCCCACCTCCCAGAAGAAAGTCTACCGCTACCCCTTCCCCTACCCCCCCCCCCCCCCCGAATGTAATGGAATTTATATAAATATATATATATATAGCTTTGACAGTGTCCAACCCCCCACTCCCATCCATTGAAAAAAGTCTGGAAGAAGCACTGAAGTTTACCTGTGGTATGCTTGTATATGTGTGAGTTTTATTTTGTTGTTGTTGTTGTTTTCTTCTAAAATATATTTGGATTCATTTTTCTTTAAAGTGTGGACAGTGGGACGTTAGCGGACCTGACGAACATGCCAATCAACAAACTGGACTTCTCTAAAGTTACCCAGTTAGCCAGTGGTGGGGAGTTGGTCATGGAGGTCGGCGAGTTTGTGTGTGCAGGTAATCTACCTTCGTCATTACATGCCGTAATATAACATGCCTATAAGTACAGGTAGCTTACCTTCATCATTACTTGCAATGACATTATAAGCCTATAAGTTCAGATTTCCCTACTTTGTCATTACATTTACATGGGATAACATTACATGATTAAAATACAGGTAGTTCACCTTCATTATCGCATGCATTTACATAATATACTGTAAAGGTGAAGGCATTTCACCATCATTATTACATGCGCTTACATTATATGCTTATAAGTGCCATACCTACAAATAGTGTAGCTTACAATACATAAATGCATCGGGCAGTTATTTTTTTGCGTTGTTTGTTAATTGCGTTGTTTGTTTGTTGTGTTGTTTGTTATTTGCGGTTTTTGTTGCGCTGTTTGTTTGTTGCTTTGTTTGTTTGTTGCGTAGTTTGTTTGTTACGTTGTTTATTTGTTGCGTTGTTTGTTTTCTTGTTATGGTTAGTGACGCAAACTAAAAGCAAGAGAGATGAATAGGTGGGCTAGGTTTAAAAATTTGATGTGCACCATCCACAATATATCTAACACCAACAGTCACTAATAGCCTATAAGGACCATCATGTATGAAATCGTAGGTTTATTTATTTTAAATTTTAAACTTTAAATACAATTTTCTTTCAATACATGTTTTGTGTTTTTCAAACAGAGGTGTTCCCAACATGCAGTGCGCTGCAAGCCTTCCTACAAAGTAACAAGACAATCCTGGGAGAGTCCTACTCCATCACGGGGTACGTTACCATCCAGCCCGACCCCAGCGTAGAGCCCTTCGGTGTCAACTGCACCTACTCAAAGACCACGGTAACCATAGTACCTGGTGAGTTGAATCTTTAGTACCTAGTGAGTTGAATCTTTAGTACCTAGTGAGTTGAATCTTTAGTACCTAGTGAGTTGAATCTTTAGTACCTGGTGAGTTGAATCTTTAGTACCTAGTGAGTTGAATCTTTAGTACCTGGTGAGTTGAATCTTTAGTACCTGGTGAGTTGAATCTAAAGTACATGGTGAGTTGAATCTTTAGTCCATGGCGAGTTACATCTTTAATACCTGAAGAGTTAAATATAGTTTTTTCAATAAATTACTTTACTTGATTTTTTTTCCATTAATTTACTCCTATTCCTATCCTCGGCTGTCGTTATAAAAAGCTAGACCTACAAACCTTGTAATGACCTTGTAAAAAGCTTGACTCATAAATCTCAAATGACCTCATAAAATGCTTGACTTCATAATTTCACCAACACGCCGAAATCATATTAATTCAAACAAAACAGCAAATTTTGATTCATTAAAAAAAAACACATTAACATTAACAACCCCCCCCCCCCCTTCCATTTCTTCATAAACAATACACTTGATGCTTAGCCTCTTTTTCTGAACAGCTCTATATTAAAATTTTGTGGACCGTATTTTATACATTCATGTTATAATCCATGTCAAATAGTTGTGGTGTGTTCTTAACTTCGACTGTGTATAGTTCTGTAAAGCATCTCAATATGACATTTTTTCATTTATTTATTTTTGCCTCTTGGGTTGATGCCCCTACTCCCCTCCCATATCTATGCCTCTAAGAATGATCTTTATCCTTATCCTTAATCCTCATCACTCCCTGTGGAGTATAGGGCAGCAACAAATCTCCGCCATTCCACCCTGTCCTGGGCGAGCCACTTTAGTTCATGCCAGGTTTTGCCAGTAGCCTGTACTTCTTCTTCCATCTCCCTCCTCCGTGTTCCCAGTGGTCTTCCTCTATTTCTCTTTCCGGGTGGGTTCCACTTCAGCGCCATGTTGGGGAGTCTTTTTTTGCTCATGCGTAGGACATGGCCCAGCCATCTCCATCTCCTCGTTCGAACTTCTGAGACAATGTCGTTTAATCCTGTCCTTCGCCATATTTCCTTGTTCGGGACTTTGTCGTCCCACTTTATCCTGAGGATGCGTTGGAGGGATCTTCTTTCAAAGCCTCTGAGTCGGCTCTCTCCTTTCTTGTTTAGTTTCCATGACTCTGCAGCATAGAGGAGTACAGAACGTACATTTGACTTATAGATCCTTATTTTAGTTCTCTGCTGCAGTGAGGATGATTTCCAAATCTTAGCGAGTCTGTTGAAAGCTTGTGCTGCCATTGCTATTCTGGTGGTAATTTCTTTCTCCATGCTGCCATTTGCTGATATATAGCTGCCGAGGTACTTAAAGTCTTCGACCTCTTCTAGCTCTACTCCATTCGCAAAGGTCTTGAGAGCACTTTTGGTTTTTATTTTCATTAGCTTGGTTTTTCCGGAGTTTATCTTTAGCCCAACGCTTTTGGCAATTTGCTCTATTCTTGTGGTTTTCGCTTGGATGTCTTTTTGGGCATGTGAAAGTAGAGCCAAGTCATCAGCAAAGTCACAGTCCTCTAGGTGGTTGGTAAGTTCCCAAACAATTCCTCTTGGCTTATCCTCAGTGGCTCTTCTCATAATCCAGTCTATTACCACCAAAAAGATGACAGGTGAGATGACACAGCCCTGTCTGACTCCTGTTTTTACCTTGAACCATTCACTTTGCTGATTTTCGTGTCGCACACAACATTGGTTATCATAGTACATGTCCTTAAGTATGTTTATGACTTTTCCTGGAAAGCCATATAGCTCTAGTATCTTCCATAATGATGGATGGTGGATGCTATCAAATGCTTTCTCGAAATCTATGTAGTTGATGTAGAGAGACGAATTCCACTCCAGGGACTGTTCCACGATAGTGCGCAAGACAAATATTTGGTCATTACATGACCTGTTGGCCCTGAAGCCAGCTTGTTCTTCACGAAGGATCCCATCAATTCCTTTCCTCATTCTTTGTAATAGGACTCTGCAGAAGACTTTTCCTGGTACTGACAGAAGATTAATGCCTCTCCAGTTCTCACAAACATTAAGGTCGCCCTTTTTGGGTAATTTGATAATGATTCCCCGTTTCCAAGAATCTGGGACTTTTTCTTCATTCCATACTTTATTGAAGATCCCTAATAGAGTTTCTGCACCTATTTTTGGGTCTGCCTTTAGCATCTCCGCAGTGATTCTGTCCTCTCCTGGAGCCTTATTGCTTTTTGTTTTTTGGACAGCTTCTATTATTTCTTGTTCTAGGATGGGTCCTCTATACATTTCAAAATGTATGTTCATGTCAGTGAAGTCAGCAGTTTCTTCTGGGTCTGGTCTGTTTAGGGTCTCTTCGAAGTATTCAGCCCATCTTTTCAATTGATGTTTCTCCGTTGTAAGAACTTTCCCGTTTTTGTCCTTGATAGTAGATGATCTATTTGCAATTCCTCCTGTTAGAGTCCTGATAATCTTGTAGACTGTTCTGCTATCTCCCTTATCAGCTGCAGCCTGTGCTTCTGTGGCCATTGTGTCTACATAGGTCCTTTTATCCTTCCTAGCATTCCTTTTTACCTCTTTTTGCAGTCTTCTATATTCTACATCGTTCCGTACCCTGCTTTCCATGGTTCCAGATAGTGTTTTGATTTTGGCTTCTCTTCTCTTTTCAATGAGATTCCAAGTATCGTTTGAGATCCATTCCTTCCTTTGTTTGTTCCTGTGTCCTAGTATGCATTGGCTTGTTTTCGTGTATACATCCAGGATCTTCTCGCATTGAGTATTGGTGTCCTCTTCTGGTAGGTTCTCGAGTAGGCTAAATCTATTTTTTAGTTCAATTGCAAAGTTTGCCTTAATGGTGGGATCTTTAAGAATCTATCTAAGAATGATAGTGTTAATTTTTTATTGTTTTTTTTATGTTTTGCAGTCAAGTGTTTACCCAACCTCGCCTTTATCTCATCGACTTAACTAACGACATCGACCATAGTTTTTACCCAATCTCACCTTTATCTCATCGACTTAACTAACGATGTCCTCTTGACCTTCCAGGTACCGGCGGCCTTGGACCTGACAGCAACAACCCCCCTCAACCACTGGACCAGTGTTTCCCCATCAGCTACACTGACGCCTACGGCAACCCCATCTCAGCTGCTCAAATTGCGGTAAGAGAAACTCTGGTCGTTGATTTTAGTTGTAGGAGAGAGAAGACAGGGGTGTTTTTGTTGTAGTTTAATGTTTAGAGTTCGTTTTCAATCATGAGATTTTTCACAAATTGTATATTTAGCTATCTTTTTTTAATGCATGCATTTTGTAATTAAACTTTCTTTCCATTCATGTGAGCGTTCTGTTGGTTTGATAATTTCGTTTTGCTAACTGAATAAAATTATATTTATTTAATAAGATAGTTCCTGTAAGTCTTAAGGAAATAGAACAGAAAAAAAGCAACCAGAAGTAAAAATATATACACTCAAATTAGTAAAATAAAAAAAAAGCTGTCATATAGGCAACTCCTTAACACCACCACACATAAACACAATATAACAAAATGTTAAATCACCATCCCACCTTTTTCGTGTTACCGTATATAATATATGCACAATCCCATTTACACTTATTATTTAGTGAATATTTTACAGGGATAAATTCACTTTCACTTCAGCTTTTTCTTCTTCGTTCTAAATTGTTATGTTGGACGGGATTTACGAGAACACAATTACGCAATACGTGTCAACATGGTATGCGCCAATTGGCGTGTTGACTCCGATTTCAGACTGATTTTCTTTATGGAATTGCTTCCATAGCTTTTGTCAATTTAAAAACAAACTACAAGACGGCAGTTGTTTGATTTTAGAGTTTTCTTTCCTAGATGGGTAGCTGTCCCCAGCTATCGAGCCTCATCTGTCAGGGGAATCAAACTCGGGACTTTCATGTTTAGCAAGACTGGTAGTACATGTATAATGTCTAATCGAACTGTTACAGGCATTGGCTAAGAAATCTGGAAAATGTAAACAAGACATGACCTTGGAATGCAAGAACGCACCTGCCACTGACAGGGTCAACTACACGACTTGTGATGGAACAGTTCGTAAAGGTCAGACACCACGGCCACTCACAGTTGCATATATATATATATATATATATATATATATATATATATATATATATATATATATATATATATATATATATATATATATATATATATATATATATATATATATATATATATATATAATTAAATTATACCTACAGTTGATTTTTTATAATTTAAGCGATAAATTGTGCATAGATGTAAATCCTTGTATCAACCTTAAATTTCAATACTATAGCCCCCATTTATGTGAAGAGTACAATGTCACATATATCAGACATAAAGTACATAGTGTTGCAGAAAATGCCATTATGTCAGCCTACACATACTGGCAGACAGAGTTTTCCAGGCATCATTTCGGAGCCCCCCCCCCCCCCCCCCACCACCCGAAGCGAAATACCATTACCAGTGTCCGCCCACCGGGAAATTTAGTCCGTCCCCTCCTCAAAAATTTTAAATGCCCCGACACCGTTGAGAAGAAAAAAGACTAAAATAAACACTTCTGGCTGAATCAGTCTATGCCGTACAGTTGCTTGGTTACCACAAACATAATCCTAGTTCTAATCCTAACAACAATATGACCCTATCCTATTCCCCATCCCATCTGTAGCACCCAGTCCCTTGACTTTCCTCGATGCTGTTTTATCTCATCCACCTTTTATTCTGAGAACCCCCATTATTTGAACTTTCACCTTTCATAAACTTATTTATTTCCTGTGATGTATTGCCAGGCTGGGCAGGCAGTTTTGGTCAAGAAAAATGTTCTTGTGGTCTATATGGCAACTGCGCCGGCGGGCAGCTGGCCAAATGTAACTGTGACATGAACGATAATGTAATTCGATGGGACACTGGCACTAACATCAATGTTGGAGAGGTTCCAGTTTGTCAGGTGATTTGACAGCTTTTTTATCTTTCTTTTTCGTTGGTGTTATTGTTTTTCATTTCCAACAAATTTAATTTAGATCACATCTATTCTAGTTCTAGTAAATCTGATAAGTTAGGCCTAAATATTAAATAATAGGGCCTATATATATATAATAAATATAATCTAGAGCTACTAAAAATATTAATAAAATTAATAATTAATAGTATTATTAGCCTAGGCCCTAGCCTAGGCCTACTAAATTTAACTAAATTAATAAATATTAAATAAATAATCTGATTAATCTTCTGTTTTCCATAATAAACTACTGTAGAATGTAGATTTAGTGACTAGTCTAATTAAAAATTATTAATTAAATATAGATCTAGATCTAGAATAGTATATATTATATATCTAATAACTACTAGATTCTATTACTAAGTAAGGTAACTAGGCCTGCATGTTCGAATTACTGGCGGTAACGATCTAGAAAAAAAAAGTAACCTTTTTAGGCCTTAGACTTTAGACTCATTTAATTCAACTTGATCTACTAGTCTACTAGAGATCTAGATGTAGATCTAGTTAATGTAAAGTTACATAGAGTCTAAATGTGGTTTTGCTTTCTAAATAGTTGAGCATGTTATTGATGAATGAAAATGTATTACTAATTGCCAGAGTTGCTTCGTAATTTATTACCTATGTTTCTTCCAGACTTTTTTTCCGGGGGGGGGGGGGGGGGGTCACTTGAAACTTTCAGGGGGACAGGGGGGGGGGGGGGGAGGGCAGACATTGTTAAAATAAAAGTATCTACTTTCTATATAAATTCCATTTTCTTTGTGGGGCAGTAGACTGGAAGAAACTCTGCTAACTACTTCATATAAGTTTCATTTTCAAGTGTGATGAGATGGGTGCAGGTTTTATTTTATTTTTTAATAATTCATTTTATAAAATCAATCAATGTAAAATTAAAATTTAAAATAGTTATTGTTTTCCATCTTGTATGTGCTATAGATCTGCTTGACTGTTTACCCCAAACCACCAAAAGGCACCACCCCTGCACCACCATCTTCTCTCAAATTTTCTGTTGGAGAATTCAGTTGTGATGGATATCAAGGTAAGGACTGTTGTAAACTTTAAAAAAAAAACTATATTGAAAATCTTTGTAATATCTTAACACTGAATTTTTGACGTTACATAAAACCTGGTTTTAGTTTCTTTATTGAATTCCCATTTAAGTTTTTAAAAGTGCTAAAAATGTTTATTTTCTTTTAAGGGACACGTAAGAACTGTCAAGATGCTAGAAATGCTTACGGTGCCACCATCAGAAGCGATTATGAAGCTTCGATTGCACTGGACTCAGATCCACCCATTCCATATGGCTGTAAATTTTTGCCTAGTCCAGCTATTGGCATCATGGTTAGTAAATCTATTTGTATATTTGAGATTTGTCATCTTTTTCTAAATTCTCGACACATATAGTAAAAGATGATGAATCTATAATATAAGAAATATACAATAGAAATTGTGCCCAAGACAAATGATTATGGTAATGATTTTCTGACATTTAACAAAACTACCTCCAAGTAATTATCATCTAATATAATATGAATCTCAAACCAGAAAGTGGGTTTCTGCAAATGAATCATAGGCAATGATAAAACATATTTTTGAAAATGTTAAAATAATTAAGTCTTAAATGTTAAAATAATATTTTATTAGTTTAATAATCTCATAGTGGTACAATAGTAAAGCTAACTATTGCCTGTATTGGGTCCACCCAGCTTTGATGAGCACCTGACTCATATTATGGGAAAAAGGTGACTGGGCAGAGTGCTGACCACACTAAACCTCAAATACAGAGTTAGTTGAAACAGATGACTTAATTATCTGCCATTTGCTACAGACTTTGTTGTTTAATCAGGTTTTTATTAACTATCGCCGATCAATGTTGAAATTACATGCTATGGTCTATCATCCATTGTAAGTCACATGGAGATAAGATACTCAGAATAAGCCTATACTTGGAAGTGTTGCATTTGCCTGATTTTTTTTTTTTAAAAATTATACTAAATGTGTATGATAATGTACATGTTCCTTTTTCCAGACTGTTAAACCAGAGACCAGTGTGATCCAACCTTCACCAAACACTACTGACATCAGGATTGTCTATGTGACCATCAGTCTGCAAATCACAAGGCAAGCCATGCAAACAAATGGCTTCTGCGTTCAAAATTTCTTCATCTTCTGCGCCAAACCAACCGACCTTCAACTGGGTGGCAAGTATGGCTGGTACAGCTATGACAATGTGATCAACTATGAGTGGAATGAATTCCCCAGCAATCATGATGGTAATTTCTTGCCTTCCTATTTGTATTTACACACAACAATTTATACTCTTTCAGGTTTTTCCTAAAGAGCATTTTTTTACCCATCCCATATTATAAAAAATTGTTGTTAACCATTCCTGCACAAACAAAATTTATAAAACAATATAATTCCACAAAGTTTTTGATAGTCTTAAATAAGTTATAGGATTCACAGCGTTTTGGAGAAAATTTCATATCCGTACCAGTGAGTCAGGAAAATTGTGTTACAAGTAAAAATTGGTTAAGCCAATTTTTTCTGCTTATTTATCTAAACAATAACAGATAGTATAAATCCAAAGCAATGTTTTTTATGCAAAAATTAATTTATTTTATGATATGACAGCTATGTACTACGTAAGATAAAAAATAAGTCTTAATTTTAGAAAAGAAAGAAATTTTATTGTTTTCTCTATGCTTTACAGAGATCAACAAAGTAATTGCAACTTACAAGGATTTGTACACCAAATGTGGCGCCCCGAGAGGTTTCAGAATCACAAAGATGGACGCACTTCCTGTGTCACGTCTGGTCCTCGCTGGTGTTAATATTGGAATTGTTCTAGGCAGTGTTGAATGCTATGGTCAGTACATTTAAACTTAAAACTCCATTATATAAAAATGTTGAATTTTATGTGTGATAATTTTCTGATAAATAAATTATTAGATGCAGATGTGTTGTTTTTTAAGTAAGGCCTAAAAACCCTAAAAAAATAATTACATACAATATTTCTGATCCTCCTTAGCTTAAGTGGCTGTTGAATAGATATGATTTTAAAATGTAAAAGTTGTTTTTACAAAAAGTGTTTACAAATATCCTCTAGGATGAAATAATTACAGACCTTCATTTTAAATACAAATACTCAAAAGTGATTGTAGAGATAAAATCAGATCTTAAAAATTAATTTGCTAGGTTTGTCTATTAAAGTTATATATAGTTAATTTTTTGTTATCTAATTAATGACTAAGACATAATTTAAATGATAACTGGAACCTTTAATAATATTTAAGTGAAACAGACTTCGGTTGAAAATCATTTATCATTTAAAACTCAATTGTTCACATTTTACCCATGTGTTATAATAAATATTTTTTTCAGATCTTAAGAAAGATTGCCAGGAAATCATGGACACACCCTCCAGAAACATTGGTCTAGTCAGTGGAAAGAAGTTTGCTATTGATGCAGATGGCACAGGTTTTGTGGCACCTTTCCAGGTCAACTGTGAGTTCAACGACACAGAGAACGTTGGCACAACTGAGGTATGAAAGGTGGCTTCAAAAAACACATTTGATTTTTTTTAATTTATATATGGTATACACAATCATTTTTTACTAAACTAAATGTTGTTAATATGTTATTAAAGATAATAAGTGGGTAAAGTAAGGTTAGATGGTAGAGCTTACAACTGCAAACCCAAAAATCTCAAGTTTGTATCTCAGTCATAAGTATGTATAAGTATGTAGTTCACCCAGCTCGGATGGTTACCAGGCTCATGTTAGGGAAAGATATACATCTTGGCTTAGTGCTGATCACACTATTTCCCTGTATGCTGAGGTCATTGATCAAATGAATTTTATTTTACATGTCTTGTGTACAGTTGATGAAATAAATAAGTATAAAATTAAATAAAAAATGGATTACACTATTAAATATTATTGTCATTAAACAAAAATTTAAAAAATGTATATTTAAAATTTGTGTTTAATAAAATGATTATATTTTTAAAATGTTTAGCAATTTCATCTAAACGAAATCTGTAATTTTGTATTATTTCTATTCCACACATACAGGTACCCCTATTAAGCAACTACAGTGGCCCTATCTCTGTGACAAACAAAGAAGAACCAGGCAAATTTGAGATCCCAATTGTGTATGATGGTGTTACACCTGAGCAGGCCAACACACTCACACAGAATGAACCTTTCTGCTGGCAGGTAAACTCCACTAGTGATTGGTGTAGCTTTTTTTTTCAATCAATAAAGAATAAGATTATAATCATATCGTAAACCATACTGCATTTCTGTCTTTAAGCAATGTTCTTGACATCAAGAAAATATTTATGGAAAAAAATTGTTTCTTTTATTTACTTAAATAAACATAAAAGTTTTGTAAAAATAAAGATTTTTTTCAAGTTTAAAAAAAAAACCTAGATGTTGGGATTTTTTAAAAAGATATCTCGGAAAAAGCTAGCTTTATAGTTTTTTTAAAAGGCTATTGTAATGTTACTCCATTGCATTAGGCATAAAAAGTAGACTAGACTATGTTAGACATAAATTGCAATTAACACTATTAACAAAACAAAAAGATACAATTATTAATTTTTATGTATGTTATAATACTTGTTATAATACTTGAGCATTTTGTAATACTTTCCCACGTTTTCTTTAACTTGCTTTCGCGTCTGTTTGTTTTGTTCTCCAATCAAATCTTGCGATCGAAATTTCGGGCACTTCCCGGTTAGCTAGCGCGCTGAAATTTTCAGGGAAGCTTTGTTTCCGATGACCATAGAATATTCAATTGTTATTATTACTAAATTGATCCATGGAAACATTTTATTGAGCATTTTAGAACGCTATATAATTGTAGTAAAAACGTGGGGAAAAGGGGACATAACCAAGTAACTGTAATTTGATGAAAACAAGGTTCGGTACTCTCCCTCTTTGCTTACTGAGTAGTGTTCACGCGGTGTTTGTGTACAAACAACCGTATCAAATGGTGGCCAGAATGGGGGAGACGATATGGTCGAGTGGTTGGGCACACGATTGCGATCCCACTCGACACGGGTTCAAATCTATGTGTTCTAGTCAGTAACGTATTCACACAACGTGTTTTTTACGAGTTGTCTTTTTACGAGTTGTCTTCGTTTACCCAAAAAAAAGTGAAAAGATAAAATCGATAGCAAGATTTTAATGCAAACAAACAAAGACTAAAAAGTAGAAAATAATAATCATTAAAAAAGTTTTTAAAAAACCCACGTTTTCTGATTGAACTAAAAAGTAGAAAATAATTGCTATACATCACAATAATGCAAGCGATCACTCTACTATAAGCGATCAAAAATGTGGGGCGCCGTGATTTTCGTACAGTTTCTAATACTGTTGACTCTCTACAAGCTCCCTAATAAAAGTCAATAGTATTATCTAATCAATAGTAATATAACTTTTACTTCGGCGCCCCACGTTTTTCATCGCTTATAGTAGAGTGATCGCTTGCATTATTGTGATGTATAGCAATTATTTTCTACTTCTAGTTCAAACAGAAAACGTGGGTTTTTTAAAACTTTTTAAATGATTATTATTAATGTTTGTTGTTATAGGGAATGAGCTACAGTTGCTCAGTATCTCCAATTAAAAAAACCAATCCCCCCAGCACATTCTATACACTCTACAACGGTAAAGTTTCTGATGGCTTTGGCACAGGTCAGTTTTCTTATTATTTTGGTTTCATTTAAATATATAATTTTGCCTTTATTTATTTTCTCAAATAAATATATTTTATATGTAACTGTAACACGTGAAGTAATCATAGTGAGTTTTTTATGCAGGAAACAGTTCAACTAACTAATGATCTTCTAAAAATCAATATGTTTTATAATATAATTGTGTACATTTAGCTTGAATTAGTAGGTCTATATTTTAAAAAGTAATTTATTTAAAAAGTTTAAAATTATTTCTTCTGCAAGCAATATGGCCTATTTTTGTACCAATTTCTGGCCAGATTTTAAAAATTTAAAACATTTTGTTAAAATTGCTGAAAAAAGAAAACTTGATATTAATCAGTTAAAATTGAAATTTCTTATCTATCAGCCTATAAAAAAAAGATTAAAAAAAATTAAAAGTTTTGATAAAGATCTAATGAACTGATATTGTTTCACCACCAGCAAGCAACACCTCTCTGCCAGGGTGTGCCTGCACCATGACAGGCACCTGTGAACCAGGATACTCATGTCACTGTGATGCAGTTGGCAAGATGACAATGGACCAGGGTGTGGTTACTGATAGGGTTAGTAAAAATGTTGTTAGAATATAATAGCACAGGCCCACAGTCATTTTCTAATATTTATCTTTTTTTTTGCAACCCACTATTTTAAGAGGTAATTCAAAGACATATTTGTTTAACTAAAGTCAAAAGCTGAACAGTTAAATAGAAGTTTTCTTCAAATATTTAAATGATTGAATGCACTCACTTTTTAGAATGTAAAAAAATATTTTATTTAAAATATAAAAACACCTATTTATTTTAAATTTTATATAACACTAGTCTTAAAGAGAAATATTGTAATTATTAAAATCTTAGGCCTACTATTTAATATCTATCTATTTTCTTTAGATGAATAATGTTACATCTTAAGTAATTTATAAAATGAATACTTCAACTGAAAACATGTAACATACAAAGAATTATCGTTTTTCTTTTCAGTTTATTTTTTCTTGTAAAAGTTAAACTGTTATTAATCTACCACTTAATTGGTTCATTTAGAAATTAATCCTTTTATTCTACCAGCAATATCTGCCCATTACTTCATTCAAAGTGGGAGGTCAGGTCAGAAATGTTTCTACCGCCTCAGTCCAGGTTGGCCCTATCAGATGTGCCAAGGTGCCCTTAGGTAGGTCAAGGTTACACCACATTCAGGCTCGTTACTATAGCAACAGTTCTTCTTAAGGATTTTTTTATGAATAAACTCATGGTCTTACAAGTCACTACAGCAATATTTATCAACAAACTCATTAAAGCAACTACTATTTATAACACATGCTAATAATTGTTTAATAATTGGTATCTGTTTATATTTTAAATTCATTTTACAGCACCTAAAATATTTCTCTGTTAGGTTACTCTGATAATCTGTGTTTTGTGTTTCACTTTAGAATTAAAAGCTCATAGTTAACTGTTCCAAAATGACTGACAAGCCATTTGCCAAATTCTGATCAAATGCATTATATAACCTACTTAGTATATTATACTAAAAGTTTTCTTGTATTTGGTTTTGCAAAAGAAGTATTATTTAATCAAATTTCATCTGTTGTGTTGGTAAAACTCTTTACATTTTATTAACTGTGCTCATTACAAATTACCTACAACTGGTTTAATTTATTAGTCTATTTGATGTTCAATATGCAACCAAAGCATCCGTTAATAAAAGTCTAAAGTTAGTCATTATTTATTTGTGTTACTCTCATCGATCTTATTTGTTTGTGTTACTCTCCTTGTTATTATTTGAATGCACCTCACAAAAGTCACATATTTGTTCTGTGTTCACCAGATCCACCCAGAGACTGCCATGATGCTCTGTTAATGAAGACCAAATTTGGCATCAACTACAACACCAACTCTGAGTACTACATCAGCCCTGATCCAAGGACAGTTCCTGGTCTTCTGGTGTATTGTGACTTTACTATTCTTCCAGGAAAAGGTACACAAACTAAATACGTGTGTCATTGTACTTCAACTTATTAGATTTCTTTGGAGAAGTACTTATTACTAATTTAATACTTTTCTTGATTGAAATTTGGTGTAAGATATAGTAAATACAGTGCAAACAATTTATAAAGTAAAATGGTATATGATTAAAATTTTAAGGCCATTACATTAATAATTAGTTAATATAATTTTTTTTAGGCTTTTGGCTGTCTTTCAACTGAAAGCTCCATGTTAATTTTTATCATTTTAATCATCATTTTAGTTTTGATATTCTTTCAAGAAATGTCTACTCTAGTTCATTTCTGGAATTTTTTGCAATAAAAACTTAAACGAAATAAACAATTATAGAGTTCTGGTCAATTCAGAGATGTATTGCGAAAAAAACTTAAATGAAATAAATATGTTTTATTGCATTTTTATCTATTCTTTCTAAAACTGAACATGTATAAGAAATTTTACAATTAACCAAAACAAACTATAATCTATATATAGTATAATTATAATTTAAATTTTTATTGATAAAAATGTTGACAAAATTTAACATGGTTTGATCCTGGTAAGGTGTCACCATTATCAACACAAAGAACACAACAGATAAACCAATCAACAACAACCCTGACCACCCCAATGAAGTGCCATACTACGGCCCTACAGATGAACAACTCAAGGCTATTGTAACAAGATCAGGCTACTGTTACCAGGCTGTCAAGTTCAACTGTATTGGTAGCACTGTATGTGGAATTTTATTTTTTGGATTTTTTTATGGAAACACTAAAATAAGATCGGTAGCCCTGTAATTGGAATTTTAGCTTTAGGATTTATTTCAATTAATGGCTAGCTTCAAAACAAATATGAATAAGTGGTTTATAAGTTATTATTCAATCATAGATTTGATTGATCACAATTTTTTACCAAAAGTGTTGGGATTGCTATTGAGAGGCTGTTTAACATCCATGAGTAAACCCAGCTCTAATGAGTACCTAACTTGAGTTGCAGAAAGTAGCTTGGTATTATGTGGAAACTACAAATGTTTTGTATGCACCGATGTAATGAACAGATAAACTCGACTTCCTTTAATCTATGGTTTGTCAGGTTTTGAGTGCAAGTGTATTTAGTAAGTAGAATGCATGATCACAAAGAAAAAATAATGGGGAATGTTTGAGTTTACCTATCCCCAGCAAATAATTAGAGTCAAGTACAAAAAACTAGACTTTGAATTGGCCTTTCAATGTCATAAAATGTGTAGTCTATTAAAACTCAATCTATGTCATTTCTGATAAGATAAATATAAGATATGAAAACTATTTTTTAAAGTTCCTTGGAGGTGGATCTTACTGGCTGACTGTAGGCTCTAAAGAAAAACGTCGCTTCTGGGGCGGGGGTTTACCAAGCGAAGACTTGAAGGATGGAGTCTGTGCTTGCGGTAGGGAGGAAAGCTGTGGAGGACTGGACTCATCATATGGTCAAAAGAGCAGGTCAGTTTGCAATAACATTCAACGTTTGTTTACTTTTTGATTTGTTGTAAACTGATTTCTTTCAGGCTCTGAAAAACCTTTGAAGTTTGTTAAGCATTGATTAATAAATATTTCTTTTCCTTAATATTTAAAAAAAGTGTATATTTTTTTTTAAATGAAGGATACAGCTTAAATAAATATACATTTTACCTCAGCCATAAAATATTTATAAAAGTGTTGGTATGAAATTATAGTAAAGCAATGGCCATTGTTTTTTTTTTTACTAATTTTCAAGCTTTTAGAGTCATTGCTACTAAACAGAATAGTTTTACATAAAGCTTAAAGTGAGGACTAGGATTAGGCTAGTAAATAGGTTAAATCATGCTTTTCTGACATATTACAAATAACTCCTGACTTTTCAAGGCGCTGTAACTGTGACGTGGCAGATGACAAACGCCGTTCAGATGCTGGAATCATCAGCCAGAAGTCCTTGCTGCCAATCAGCCAGCTGTGGATTGCTCGTTACGCCAAATTTAACTCTGTCAACATTACAGTTGGTCCTTTGTATTGTTCACCAGAGCCAATGAGTAAGTCGGTTATTCTTGTAATTGGGATTTCAAAGCATTCTTTTTTCTAGCGTGTCAATCTGCTCTTTATAAATACAGGTGGGTTAGGTTTTTAGTGGAATATAATAACATGTTTAGCTTTAGAGGTAAGGCAGACTTAGGGCTACGGTTAGGTATAGGTTTAGGATTGACATTGTCAAGTTATATGAGAAGTTTTTACAAGCAGGAACCCATTGCCACTAATTCAATATTATTCTCGTATTTTCCAATTTTCAGACACCGTGATTGAGAACACTAACACTTGTAATGTAGTCAAGTCTATTATGGCTTAATTGTTGTCTATACACTGCATTGGAGGAATGAATTCCTTAGTGTTCATTTAAAAATTAAATCAACCTTTAATTAACTGTTTTAATTACCAGTCAGTCTAACCTGTTTTTATTCTATTTATTAAGAAATTATAATAAAATTTTGTGACATGTATTTTACTTTTTTCTATAGCCAACTAGCCTACTCCAAGAAGTAAATTACATTGTTGTTTTTGCATAGTATTATAACAAATTTTATAGTCATGTTTTTAAAATCTATCTTGCTGCTTTTATGTTTTAATTGCATTCCGTGAAAAAAGATTCTATAAACTGTATCAAATTTTATTTAAAATCTTTATTAAAGAGTTTAACGAATGCAAGCTGGGTTTCAATGACTGCCATGAAAAGGCTGAATGTATTGACCTGGATGAGGGCTACACCTGCAAGTGCTTGCCAGGTTGGAGAGGAAAAGGAGTTGTACTGGCCAGCAGAGATGCAAGAGCCAATGGCAGAGAATGTATTGGTGAGTTAGTTTAGCCTGCTTCTAACCCCTCTTTATGGTGAGTTAGTTAATACTTTATTTATGGATTTCCTGTTGCCATAAATCTGGAACAAAGATACAAAGCTTTCAAATGCCAAACATTTTTTAAATTAATAAAAATAAAAATAGACATTTTAATTTAAAACAGTTCTTGAAACATGTTTTGCTTTGTTTATTCTAGCATGTTACATCTGGGGGGAAAAAATCCTAGTGATTTCAGAACCAAACTTGATCAAGTGCATTCCAATTTTTAAAATTTTGTCATAATAGCTCATTTAGAAGTTAAAATCTCTAATGTATTTATATTATTCTCTTGACTAGATGATAATGAATGTATTGCACTCAGCCCTTGCCCATACAGCGCCAACTGCACTAACACACCAGGTGACTTCTACTGCACCTGTAAAGAAGGCTACAGACAAACTGGCAAAACAGAATGTGAAGGTATTTTATTATGCTAAATCTGGCTAATGTTTGCAGCACTAGGCTAACAATGGTGTATAAATCTGGGACTACAGCCTATTGCTTGTCTGTTGTCCAAAACATGGGATAGTTCATATAATGTAATCCAGTTAAAATTAGATAACAATGGATATAACAGTAGCCTTACTGATAGTGGACTAAATAGGCCTACATCAATACATGTTTAGGGGTCGGCGTGGTCGAGTCGGTAAAGCTCATGGTTGCTAAACCAAAAAGTTTCGAGTTCGAACCCTCGGGCAGATGAGGCTCGTTAGCTGGGAACAGCCACTCTTCTAGGAGAGACAACTCCAAAATTAAACAACTGCTGCCTTGTAGTTTGTTCTTGGTTGGACAAAGGCTATGGAAGCAAATCCAAAAAGAAAAGCAGGCTGAAATCGGAGTCAATGGCCTCAATGGCGCATAACCAGTTGACACGTACCGCTTAATTGTGTTGGATGCGTGGCCGAGTCGGCAAAAAGCTCATAGTTGATAAATTCGAACAAAGTCTCGAGTTCAAACCCACTGGCAGATAAATCTCGATCCCCTTCACCACTAATAATTAAGAAAGAAGAAGAAGAAGAAAATACATGTTTAATCTTAGCAATTATTTAATTTAAAATTTGTTTCTTTATGCTTATTTGTTAAACTGTAATTTTAAATGAGGGAAATTGTCTGCTTATTCACCGTCAGCAAATACTAATCAATTAGCCTTGTGAAAATTTAGCATTCATTTTGTTTTTAAAATGGTAAATACTTTCTGAAGTTTTTTATTGCCTGTTTTTAGTTACATATACAATTTCAATAACATAAAACTTTTAAATCAAGTGTTTGCAATTATTGTTTAGATATTGATTTGTCTGCCAATAATAACCAAATTAATTTTTATATTTTTAGACATTGATGACTGCCTTAATAATAACTACATTATTCTTTTATTTTTAGACATTTATGAATGCCTTAATGATCACCTCATTAATTATGTATTTTTAGACATTGATGAGTGCCTTAATGATAACTACATTAATTTTTTTTAGACATTTATGAATGCCTTAAAGATTACCTCATTAATTATGTATTTTTAGACATTGATTAGTGCCTTAATGATAACCACATTAATCTTGTATTTTTAGATATTGATGAATGCCTTAATGATCACCTCATTAATTATGTATTTTTAGACATTTATTAGTGCCTTAATGATAACCACATTAATCTTGTATTTTTAGACATTGATGAGTGCCTTAATGACAATCTCAATAACTGTGATGAAAACGCCCGCTGTGAGAACCTTGATGGAAGTTTCAGGTGTATTTGTAATAAGGGCTTTAGAGGAGATGGTGTCACTTGCATACGTTAGTAAACTTTACTTAATTCTTAGCCTGTCACCATACATAAGTTAACAAACTTATAGCTGAAGTAGTAGTTACTGTGTCAAACATTTTAATGTATAAATGGTCATCACATTATGTCACAGGAGTCATAGAATTAAATGAACATATATAGCACACACTGTAACATATAAATGTTAATAACATTTATATAATGACAATAATAATACATAAGTTAACAAAGGTTACTATATTAATCATATTATTGTATCAACAGTCAACTCAAGGTGTGATACAAATCACTGCATAAGAAAGTAACTACCTACATTAAATGAACATTATAATGTAAAGCACCAACTAGGAAATATTTATTTATTCTTCAATACAATAAACATAAACTGCAAACAGTAACAAGCTCTGTTTGTTAATGTATCAAACTGCTGTAGATTTAGCACATTACATTGCACCATAAATTATTGTACCATAACTTTATTTTACCACAAACTATAGTATAACTGCCTATTGTATGACAAAATTTAGTACCACATAATAGTTTATTGCATTGTTTGATTTGTTTTAAGAAATTGATGTGATGAAATCAGTCCATTTCAAATTATAATTAGATTTAATTGGAGTTCTTTGTTTAATACTTCCATAAAGACTAATGTTTAACTATGGAAATGGTATATCCTTTCATTTACAGCTGTTGGACAGTGTGCCTGCTTTGGTGACACTCACTGCAACACTTATGATGGCAAATGGCTAGACTTCCAGAGCCAGTGTACCACCACCATGTCCAGAGATGGCTGCAATGATGGGGAAACCCCCACCTTTAAGTCAGTACAAAAACTTTCTTCTTTACTAGTTAAAGCTCATGTAGCCAAATTTCTGCCAATTTTTATGTTAAACCATATGAATATTTGTTGTTTTTCCTTATGCATATATAAGCCAGAATAAGTAGTCTATTATTTAAAACTAGGATAACACTGGAATTTCTGAAAAGTAATTAATTGGTAAAGTGGAAAAAGTAATTAATTGTTGATTGCTAAAAGTAGGTATTCTAAATGAGCCGAAAAAAACGTACTGCGCGCAAAAAAATTTGGTCGGGTTGCGCCAACGCTCGGAGATCCGATACCATAATACATACGATTACACTAAAAACTAATATAGAAAGTAGAATGGACGCCCTTTAAGATGATATGACTTTGCACGCTGTAAAATATAATTTAATGCTAAAAATGATAGATTTAAAAGTTTCAAATGATTTTTTTACACGAAAAAATTATTTTACAGCCGGCAAAATTATATATTCAGATTGGGCGTCCAATTTACTATAAAAATGTTATAATTTAATTAACACTTAATGTATGGTATCGGATCGCAGAAATAAAAACGAACGCATACGTATCGTGATGACCCGCGCTAACTTTTGCCGGCTTAAATCTAGTTTTGCGTAATGTCACGGAACACCCGGCTCAAGTTCAAAGCAGGATTTTGTGTTTATTCGCGGATTACCATGGATTTTAAACAATGTCTTGGTAAGTTAAGTGCTTTATAAATTATTAGCTATATTCATTTTATTTATAATAAACTGCTGCTTTAAACCATTGGCATTTTAGTGTCCACTTATCGGTAATTGCTACACGCTTAAAAAAAACATTTACAAAAAATTATCTAGACCTTTTTTAAAGTTCTTTGTATTTAATTTACGATTACCAAAATAAAAAAGGAATGCACAGTTAAATCAAAAAGATGTTTAAAAGAGTGATAGAATTTAATTTGTATTCGTGAATTTTATTAATTACTAACATCGAGCGATTAAACTATCAATATATTGTCGATATTTCAAGCCGCTTGTCGGCCATTTTTTTTTTGTTGCCTTCTCGTAATGTTGGATTCAACTATTATATTACGCAGGGTTAACAGCATACTTTCAATTTATTGTAGCATTGTTTATTTTGTTTTTCCTAGTTTAATAGTTAACTATTCTATATAATTGCAGTAATTACATTAAATTTTAGAATACTACGATCGTTAATGTTTCTTATCTCTAGGTTTATTGAACTGACGACATTAAAATAAAATGTAGCCCCCCTTCCATAATAGTTTAACCCAAAATTGTTTCTAGATCTACTTAGATTAGTTAGATTCACTATTGATTTCATGTTAATATTTAGTAGTAGAACTATCTAAAGTGTTTAAATTTAATATCTAAAAAATCATTGAGCAGCCTTACTTTTAATATTATTCTATTTACAGAGCAAGATACTAGCAAAAGAAAGGGGAAACTGAAAGACCTGCCAAAAATGTGTATTGTTTGTGTAAGCACCAAGCGCACTACTGAATACTTTTGAAGGAAACCATATGTCAGATGTTAGTATTTTCTGCACTTTGCTTATTAGTTATAATGATGTAATGTTACATGATTGATATCTAATAAGGTATAAAGATATACAGACCTACTATATAAGTCAGTATATTGGAAATGCTAATTAATTGTTTTTATTCACAGACATTTTCTATACTCTGGACCAATGGAAAGATCCCTTATTAGTTTCCATAATTTGATGTGTGCTGCCAGTTCACAATAATTTATTACAATGCTACTCCAAACCTTGAAGAAGAAGACAAACTCAACCAAGATATTGACTATTAATTACAATGCTACCCAACCTCATAAAGAACTTTCCCAATCAGGATATTGACCTGTCTTTTTGAACCTGCTCAAAGATTTCTGATAATTGTATAAGTTAGGACCTAGACAATTCCAGATGTTGACATTGATCAATAACTAACTAGCAGAAATAAATTTACTGGTAACAAGTAAATTTAGGCTAAGCATGTGATGATTAGGGAGCAGAGTAACAAAACTAGATGAACATCACAAAGCTAACAGGATCATTTATAAAGAATTTTAGTTTAATTAGTTATCTTACTTCATCAGTGTTTAAAAGGCATGAAATTTCTTCTTAGTAAGTATATAAGTAAAGTAATAGTATAGTTATTTAATTTTTTATAACAAAGTAATGCTAACATGTTTCCTACACAATTTATATTACTTTCTTAAAAGTAAGGACACTTTTTGCAAGATGTTAGGTAATGAAAATTCTTGATTTTGGGCGTTAAGGAAGGATGCCTTATATTGTTTTGCAGAATGATTATTTTATGTTTCTGTGTTTATTATATATTAAGAACATCATGTGCTTTAAGATGGTGTAAAATTTATTAAGATACCTTACTTTAATATTTTTTAATCATTTTTTGAAAAAGGATGAAATTTCTAATTTTTATAAACTGACCTTGCAGAATCTGGTCTCGCTAATTACTTTCTTTATTAATTCTTTACCTGCTTATTTCATATTAACAAGCTTTGAATTTCCTTTCTTAGAACATTTATATTATCAATGTGGCTTAATTAGTTTATTTTATATGATTTTTTAAAAATGACTGTAAATTGACTTTTTGTCTCCCTTTTCGTATTTTGGTAAAATTGTGCTTTGGCTCATTTTTATGTGAATAAATTTTCTATTTATATCTGTCTGACTACCTTGAAAAAAATTGGGTTTGCTATTTGTATTACTGGTTGTGTGTGCAAGAAATTTGTGAGTTCTAACTTAGTTATTTTAGAAGTTAGTAGGGGTCTCAAATAGACCCTTTACTGCTCGAAAAGCGAACACATTTTTCGAGTTTTAAAAAATTCATAACTTTTTTAAAAATGGACATACATCAATAAATTTGGTGTTTCTGTTCTGATGAAAGCAATCCCTATCAGGTGGAAGTGTTAAATTTTATTTAATTTCATTATGAAAATTTCATTTAGAATACCTACTAAAAGTAAAGTCATCTTTTTTTGGATTCAATGGTCCATAAGGCAGACAAAGTAGAGTTCATCTGTTTCTTGACCATAGCATATGAAGGAATTATATGGTCAGCATTACTTCCAGCCGCCTTTACTTCTTCAGGTACCCATTAGAGCTGGGTGGACTCTAGGAACTCCTTCAGTCTTGGGTTCAAAATCAAAACTTGAGATTTTTGGGTTATCTGTTGAGCACTCTACCACCCAGCCATTCCATTATAAAAACAGACATTGGAAAATGTACTATAATCAACATTTTCTTTAAAAATAGAATTGGAAAAATTTGTAAAGTAAAAGGTTCCCCTTTTAAGACCTAACAATCCATAGGGCATATGAAGTAGAGTTAATGTTTCTTGACATTGGGATGGTGTGGTCAGCACTGTGCCCAGCCGCCTTTACTTTCCATATCGTGAGTAAGGTACCCATCAGAGCTGGATGTATTCAGGGACATCATGCAGAATCAAGTCCAAAGTGAGATGTGAACTCAGAATTTTGGGTTAGCAGTCCCGCAGTCTACCACCTGACTATATCGTCCCACATGGGAACTTGGAAAAATAAGTAAATTATAGTCTGTGGTTTTTTTTTTCCAATGTATAATATTTCTTTGTCAACCTTTAATCTAGTGTTCAAATAGTTCAGTGGAAAAAGGACAACATCAATCCTGGATACTTCTCATGGATTAAAAGTGTTAAAATCCTGATCTTTGGCCATGAAATAGTCTTGGACCAAGATAAGCGTGCATTTGTGGATGGAATTTTGACCAAACAATACTCTGACCAACATCTGTTCAGTGTCACCATTGTGAACTCCAGAGTGGTAAGTTTTCTGTGTTCAATTGTGCTATTTCATTTATATTTTTTTTAGTTTGTTGTATTGTGTTGCGTTTTATTGATATTTTTATAATAAAACTAATATTTTTCATTACAAACTTTGAAGGGCCTGTATTCTGTTTTGATTTGATGCATGTATTGTTTATCATAGTCTAGCTCTAGAAGAAACAACCATTAACTGGTTCTAACTTAACTAACTTGGTATAACTTTCCTTTAGGCCTATAATTTAATTTTAATAGTAGACTACTAATTAGGAAAGAGTTAAAGGCCCTCTTTACATCTTTAGTTTTACTGTTATTTTTAAATTTTATTTTATTACTATTTTTTAGCTGGCCATGAGGCACCTAAAAATCTATTTTTAGAAAGTCTTAACATGTAGTTACAAATAACTGATATAGTTATGGATTCTATATGTAAATTTTTTTCATCTGGAGTATTTTAAAACATTTTTTATGATGTTCAATTAGTCTTTTAAAAAACAAGAAAATATTTGTTTTAACGACTTGGTTGATTCTTTCTTTTTACCATTTCTCTTTTTGTTCAGTGTTTTAATCAAAATCAGTATTTGATTCATGCCTTTCTAGTTATCTGATAGATATCTAGATATTATTTGTGTTATTTCTATGTCTCATATTTAAAAAAAATTCTTTTATTTTTCCTTTAAGACCAAAAGCAAATGGCGTTGTTGTTTTTTTTTAAATATGGACTCAACAGTGCAATTAAATGCATGAAAGATTTTTTTTTTAAATATGGACTTAATAGATCAGTTAAATGCATTAAACTGATAGTTTTTTTTACTATAAGTCAATTCTTTTCTAAAACTAACTTTATTTTGCTTATTAATAAATATTCAAATTTCAACCCAGAAATTCCAAAGTATCCAAGGAATTGAGGTCTACTGGGACTGGAAGGACACAGTTGAAATAACTGTAGCCCAAGGATCCCTGAACAAAACCTGTGGTCTATGTGGCAACTACAACAACAACCCTCAGGACGATTTAGTGCAGGGTCCTGCTTGTCCAGACACCAAAGGAAAATTGGTTAGTTGTGTTTTTACATCTTTCAGGAGAGAACTAAGCTTAATAAATGTCACAAAAGGTTTATTTTTTTATTTTTACACCTACTTTCAAGTGATTAAAAATCTTTATAAAATTTCTTGTCTTTTTTAGCACCTGCTTTCAAAATATTAAAAATCTATATAAGATATCTCGTCTTTTATTTTTACATTTACTTTCAGGAAAGAACAAAGCTTCATAAAATAGCTCATAAGCAACTCTAAAAACATAAATCATGCAAAAAAACCTAATTAGTATAAGATTTTACTACCCACACATAAGAATTTAAAAGTTTTCATGCCATACCCACTTTAAAAGCAAAATTATTTTTAAGAGTTATAAATTTGTGAGAATCTAAAACCAAAATAAGCGTTAATTTCATTATAGTTTAACTTAGATATTAGTTGTAATAATTTGGAGGAGATACAAATATTTAACAATTATGAAAACTGGTAAAACAAGGCCATATTGAAATATTCATTTTAATCCCAAATATTGAAATCTGACAAACCATATATGAATATATGATGTTTATTTCTGTAACATATAAAACCACAAAAAAACATTTTAATATTGCTGTACACAAACTGCCTTATATTTTTAATATTAAGAATTTAATTACAAGCTATGTAACTTGAATTGTCATTTTCCAAAAATTTAATTTGTGGGAAGAATTGACATCCATTATTTATCAACCTAAAGATGTAACAAATCAATAAATAAATTTAAGTATGTAACTGGTTTAATGCTTCTGTCACAAGATACCTAGTACATTCTATCTCTGCACTTCTTGCATTACTTTGTCACGTCTTGTCTTATAAATATTTTATTCTGACCTAGACAACCAACGAGCACAGTTTTGGTATCTCATGGACTGTCCCTGATCCTAAAGCAACCGAATGTGTTGTGGACTGCAACTTTGTGCCCCCAGTGGAGGAATGTGCTTTCCCAATGCCCCTGGTCAAGAAAGAATGTAACAAAATTATGAACACCACAACATCACCATTTAAGGTAATATAAATCTTAGAGAGGATTACTGTAAGTAGTGGTAGGTCAAAGGTCACCACACTGTTCTCACAGGTGAATTTTTACACAATTACTCTTAGGTCACAATTTTTAATAAGTAAAGCTGCCCTTTTAGACTTAAAGATCCTTTGGGCAAATGAAGTATACAGAATCTTTTTCTTGACCTTGGCATATATTACTTGATTGTTTAATATTTTCCTGTTAAGTCCTCTGGTGTTTGTGATAATTTTAAATGAATGGCTTAGGAAAGTGGTAGAGTTTATGAATGGTAACTCAAGTCTTGAACTCAACTCCTGCCTTCGATTTAAGTTGGAGAAGTACAGGATGTTTGTCATTGTGTTGATAAGGCCACACTACAGATGTACCCATGGGGTGGTGTGGTCAAATGTCTGGCAAATGAAAAGTCTTTGTTGTAGCACATCCCTGTCCATCAAACTGTTGAGTACCTGATCTACGTTAGGGAAAGTTATGGTGGCTTGGCACACTATCACTTCACATGTCAAGGTCACAGAAACAGGTCGCCACGTCCAAAATGCAACTTTACTTACAGATATACCCTAATTCACCTGCTATCTGGTTTATAAAGTTTACTTTTATTTCTGCTGGTAAGAAAAACTTAATGATCCTATTCCAGTTACTATTTAAAATGTGTTTATAAATTAATTATGGCTAAATCAGTTTGCCAATACAATTTTGTTTTGGCACCAACAGAATTGTTGGAAACTAAAGAGCTTGGATGATCTGGCTCGTTTGACCAAAAGTTGCGAGTTTGATCTGTGCCATGATGACAACCTGGATGAGGCGGTCTGCAGGTTTGCTCAGATCATGAGTGAGGACTGCGCCAACAACGAGAAGGTTGAGATCACAGACTGGAAGAAGGACATCACAGCTTGTGGAAGTAGGTTCTAAACCCACCTTCACCCACCTTGCTAATTTTTTATATCGTAATTTGTGAAAATAGATTCTAATCCAAGTTCTAGCAATATTGACAGCAAGTGTTATTGCAATGTGAAGGATTGACACAGATACAGAATCGCTCCTGACTTTACTTGTACTATATTCTGTACCTGTGTCTACCATTAGCGTTTACATAATACTCTCTGTCAATATTGCTATTTTAGTAATGATGCTTCCTTCCAACACATCCATATGTTTAATCCGAGTTCTATCCACCTCACAAACTTCTGTATCATAATTTAAGGAATTAGGTTGTCATCCAAGTTTTACCCACCACACAAATTTCTCTTTCAAATTCACCTGTAAATAAAACCAAGCACATAATTTTCATACTTTAAATTAAATCTTGAAAATTTTCAGTGTGTTTATTTCTTTTCTTCCAGAACCAACATGCAAGAACAACATGATCTACAAAGACTGCGGCACAGAAGAGCAGGAAACCTGTGTGAGTGTCAATGACACCCTAGTTAAAGACACCATTGTCTGCATCCAAGGCTGTTTCTGTCCTTCTGGCCTGGTTATGGAAGATGACAGATGTATCAAACGCGAGGAGTGCGGCTGTTCTCGTAACAATGGATACATGGCTGTAAGCTGAACACATTCTCATGAATAATTTATAAATAATTAATGCTTTATATGACACATCCATAACAAGCGAGCTTATTTCTTTTAGAAACAGAAAACTAGGAGTGCTACAAAGTAGTAAACAGTTAACAGCAGGTATAACCATGAAAAGGCTGATTAACAATTTTTAATTTACAAATAGCTTATTGAATGAGAAGGGTTATTTTTGTAAGCCGCTTCTAAAACAGGACTTCATTAATAAATAATGTTGTAGTGCTATCTAAAATAACACTATTTTCAACCCTAAGTTTTAATGTACCACCATACCTCTTCTGTATTGAGAAAGTTTATTGTTTCAGCATCATCATCATTCCTTTGTGGCCCCTGGGTAGCAAAGGGCTGCAACCACACATCTCCAGCGGACTCGGTTTAGGGCTGCCCCCTTTATCTGTGCCCATGTGTGCCCAGCTGCTTTCGCCTCTTCTTCAACCGTTCTTCTCCATGTCTTCCTTGGCCGGCCTACCCTCCTTTTTCCCTGGGGATTCCAGTCTAAAGCATGCCTTGTGATGTTTTCTTTTTCCTTTCTTAATGTGTGTCCGATCCATCCCCATTTTCGGGCCTTGACATCTGTCTCTATTGGCTGTTGCTTTAAAGTTCGCCATAGGTCTTTGTTTGATATTTTGTCTGGCCATATTATTTTAAGTATATGTCATAAGCATTTGTTTACAAATGCCTATATCTTAACAGTATTTGTCTTCGTGACCCTCCGACCCATAGAGCAGCACTGCCTTGACATTTGAGTTGAAAATCCCAATTTTGCTCCGGAGTGACAGGGCCGTGGACCTCCACATCGGGTGCAGTGAGTTGAAGGCACATCTAGCCTTGTTGATACGACATTTTATGTCCTCATCTGCTCCCCTGTCCTTATTGATCACGCTTCCCAGATATGTGAATGTGTTTGTTTCTCGTAAATCTTCTCCATTTTGCTGTATCGGCAGGTCCTGGCTGTTATTGATTCTGATGAACTCTGTTTTATTTTTATTTATTTTTAGTCCAACTTTGGAGGCTTCTTCAGACAGCCGATTTAGTTTGGCTTGCGTATGTTGATGCTTGTGAGATAGTAGGCAGATGTCATCTGCGAAATCAAGATCCTCCAGCCTTTTGGTGAAACTCCACTGGATTCCTGTGTCGTTTTTTGTGGTTTTCAGCATGATCCAGTCGATTACCATCAAGAATATAATTGGCGATAGCATACATTCCTGTCTTATTCCCATCGTCACCGTGAATGGTTTTGTTAGCTTTCCCTTGTGTATTACCTGACTGGTGGAGTCTTTATATAGTTTCTGTGTAAGATATAAATGTTTTGGGTATTCCATAGTGGCTTATTAACTTCTAGATAGCATCTCTATTCACACTGTCAAACGCCTTTCAAAGTCGACAAAAGTCATGTATAAGGGGGATTGCCACTCAAGAGACTGTTCGATAATGATGCGCAGCGTGGCAATGTGGTCAGTACATGACCTGTCTTGACAAAAGCCAGCTTGTTCTTGTCTCAGCTTTTTGTCCAAGGCATCTCTAAGTCTCTCTAGGATGATTCTTGTCAGCACTTTACTTGGGACTGAAAGAAGCATTATCCTTCCCCAGTTGTTGCATGTTGTCAGGTCTCCCTTCTTTGGCAGTTTTATTAGGTATCCCAGTTTCCAGTCAGATGGGATTATCTCTTCTTCCCAAATCTGCTTAAGTAGAGGATGTAGTATGTCTGCTGATATGGCTGGGTCTGCTTTTAGTGCCTCTGGTGGGATGCCGTCCGGGCCAGCTGCTTTGCCATTTTTCATGTTCTTTATTTCTCTTATTGTTTCTAACTTTGTGGGTGGATCTGTACACACATTTAGTAGGTGGTTTGCAGGTGGTATATCAGGGATGTTTGATGAGAGAGGATGGTTTAAAATCTTATCAAAGTGCTGTACCCATCTGCCTCTCTGTTCTGTTAATATTTTTGCCTGATAGGGTCCTGGTTACTTCATATAGCCTCTTCATTTTTCCTTGTCATGCTGCAGTTTCTGCCTCCTCTATCATCTCCTGTATGAACTGTCTTTTGTCTTCTTTTGCACTTATCCTGACCATGCGATTTACTTCACAATAATGTGTTCTGAGGTTTATTTTCTCTTTTTCATCCTTACATTTGTTCTTTTCTTTCTTCAATTTTTGGCCCATGTCTCTGTTGTGATCCATTCTTTTTGTTCATTTTTTCTTCTTCCCAATATGTCAGTGCATGTTGACTTCCATAGTTTCTGTATTCATAGTCATTTTTGCTCTACTGTTTCTTCTGCCAGGCTGGAGAGTGCTTCATACCTATTTTTTACTGCTCAGTTAAAGTCTTCCTTTATTTTTGGACTCCTAAGATATCTTGTATTGAATTTAAAGTGCGGTTTATCAGCGCGATCCCTGTAGGATTTTAGTTTTCATTTTAGTATTGCAACCACGAGTTGGTGGTCTGAGGCTGCATCTGCACCTCGTTTCGCCATTACATCCATTAAACTTCTTCTCCACTATCTGGAAACTGTGATGTGATCAATTTGGTTCTTTGTTTTGCCATCGGGTGACGTCCAGGTGGTCTTATGTATATCTTTATGAGAGAAAATTGTCCCCCCTATAATTAGATCATTAAATGCGCAGAAATCAGCAAAGAGTTCCCCGTTTTCATTTATTATGCCTATTCCATTGTTCCCCATTGTGAGCTCACGATCTTTATTTTCTGTTCCAACTTTGGCATTCATGTCTCCCATCACTATCTTTATATCTCTTTTTGGTGATTTGTCAATTTGAGCTTGCAGGGCGCTGTAAAAGTCCTCTTTCTCTTCATCTGTTGCAGCATTTGTGGGTGCATAGCACTGGATTAAAGTTGTTTTCCTTCCCTTGGCATTGAAATGAGCTGGTATGAGTTGTGGCGAGACTGGTTCCCTTGCATTTGTTCAAAGCATTTGTTGCTTCTGGAGACATCATTATGGCTACACCTTGCGTGTGTTCATGATCTTCGTCCTCGTGGCCTGAGTAGATGACAGTCTCTCCCGAGACCAACCTAGTTTGACCACTGCCATTCCATCATGTCTCACTTAATCCTAGGACTTTTTATTTATACCTCCTCATTTCTTTGGCGACCTGGGCTGATCTGCTGCTTTCATATAGGGTTCTGATGTTCCAGGTCCCTAATCTAGTTTTAGTCTTGGGCGTTAGGAGATTTGTCAGCAAACTAGCTTCCGTTAGGCTTTCACAAGTAGGCATCATGGGCTCTTCTAGAGAGGAACCCCCTTGACCAAGTCGGTGTTGGATTTGTGTACTTGCAGTTTCTGTAGCGGTATATTTTTTTATGAGATAAGGTTGCTAGCCTTATGTTTCAACCCCCAACCTGGTGGACCAGGGTGTTAGCTTTGGTCTAATCCCTACCCGCACAGACCTTCCCAGCTTGGTTGAACCTACCAGGAGTTTACACTCCCGCTGCTATAGCTCTGGGGGTGGTCAGGATACACAAGCTGCCAAGCCTTGACAAGGCTCTAACACCGGATGGCAGAAGTTTATTGTTTACCCTGCATTAAATTTAAGCTATTTCACCATATATTTTCATTTATTTTCAGTATAAATGTATATTTTTAATTAGAAACTGATCATTTTAGCTGTTTGAAAAAAAGCATAATAATAATTATCATTGTCACAAAAACAAATGGGCCATACTTCTTCTGTAATATGGCCTGAAATCATACATCACTCACATATTCTAACTGTTGTTTTGTTTTCACCAGATGGGTGACATTCTTTACCTCCCTGACTGTTCAGAAACAATTACCTGCCTTGGCAAAAACACCACCAAAGTTACCCCAGCAGGCTGTGAGGAGAATGAGGAGTGTAGTATTCAAGATGGTGTCACAGGCTGCTACTGTAAGGAGGGTTACCTCATGAAGGAAGGCAGTGACAAGTGTGAACGTAAGTTTCTCAGGCACCAATTTAAAAAATTGTTTTCTTTTTCAGAATTTTAAACAGTTAATTTATAGACCTAATCTTTATTTGCTAATTTTAATTACATTTCTTTTTCTAACTTTACTTTAACTTCATCTGTCCTACTGATAAGGTCCAAAAGTGTAACTTTATTAAAAGAATTAATTTTTTTGTGTGTAAAAACAATAGTTCTTTTAGTATTTCCTTCCATCCCTAGAAAGATTAACTGAAATTTAAAGAATTATTTTTCTTTTAAAGCAATAGTCTAACAAAACTGTTTATTTTCGGAAAAATATGATATTTAAACAGTGTAATTTTCAAAACAAATATTAATATTTCTATTTCTAAACAAATTTCAATTCTTAATAACTAGTTTTTTAACCTACAGTTTTATTTTAGACCCACATACCCTTTGTTTTAAAGCATACATTTTATACCATATTTTTTTGGTTTAAAAATGGGGAACACAAAATAACATTTTTAACAAATCTGTCTTGTCAGCTGATACATGCACTGGTGTTGTTTGTGAAATTGCTAACATGGAGTGTAAAAATGGAACCTGTGTTTGCAAGATGGGATACATTGGAGACTGCAATCAGTGTGAAGGTGAGGTTAAAATAATTAACTACAACATTTAAAGGGAATTGAAGAGAAAATTTCAAATCAAGATTTCTACAAATAGATTATAATGATGACAAATAACTGAAGTTGATAATGTTAATTATTTTAATTAAGGTTTGGCCTGTTATTTAAATTGTGATTGGTTCATATCTTGCCATGTAAAATTACTCGCAGGTATGCTTATTTTCTGTAAGCTTGAAAATGAAAACTAATTTCTTCTCAATAGAATAAACACCTTAACAAGTCATCTATAGGATGGTTTAGATTTTCCAATATTGTAAAATTAAAATACTTTATGACTCTTAACTTGCAGACATTGATGAATGTGCCACTGGCCAGGACAACTGCACTATGATTGGCCAAACTTGTATCAACCTTGATGGAGGCTTTGCTTGTGGCTGTAAAGAGGGCTTTGTCCTCAATGGAAAAGTCTGCAAAGGTATGTGTTATAGCTGAACAGGATAGATGTCTTAATACACGGTAGGTATTCTTTTGAGATAAGTATGCATGGGTAAGATAGATTTTTAACCCCTACGACTAAACGACCCTTTTCTTTTTACCTGTTGATTTAAACCCCACACATTATTGATAAATATTAATCATAATATAATGCCCTACACACTGATATCAATTTTAAGTTATTATTTATTTGTTGAAGAAGGATAATTTTTTAGTTTTAAAGAAGAAATAGTTGATTTTTGGGGGCAAAAAATACGCTTCTGTCGGGAAAATTAATGATAAGAATTACTTTTCATGGGTCCTTAGTCGTAGAAAACGAAAGTATGTCTATTTTTGTACAAAAATAATGGATCGGATAAGTCTTAGTTTAAATAGCTTATCTTTTGATAATTTTAATGCGGTGACATAAACATTTAGATGCTGTCACTAAATGGCATTCCGCAGTGTTTAAAACATGCAGTTTTACAAGTTGTTTTACAAAAAAAATTGTATGAAATACAAAATCAACTCCACGAGAAAACTAAGAAATAAATACAATGAAAAATGGCAGCTCTAGCATTATCATTACCTATATATACGGTTAAAAACTTGGATTCTAAAAAACAAAGAATTACATAGAGAAAATGTTATCGGAGGCTGGGAGCGTCGTTATTATATGGCAGGTCGGCGTGTCAACGGCTGGGAGCATCATTATGGTCTTAAAGAGTTAAACCCACTCTGAATACTTGTTAAAACCAATAAAATATGTAATCTCATACTTCAACTCTAGCTCTAAAAGTTAGCTTACAAGATAAACAATTGTATCATAGGGGGTTCTTTTTTGTTTGTTGTTTTTGTTTTTTTTTTTTTAGTTTTTAAAAACTATCAAATTCATTATTACATTTAAATTAAAACTAACTTTCTTCTGTAAAGTTTAATAAATCCTGTTTTTAAATATCTATTTGTTTTGTAAAAATAACACTTCAATTTTGACATTTTAATTTCTAAAATATTTGAATTGAGTTAATAAAACAATTCCAGATATTGATGAATGTGACTATGACATTGATGGATGTGGAGCCAACTCTGAGTGTGTCAACACCCCAGGAAGTTTCTCGTGTGAATGCTGTGCTGGCTACAAGAAGAGCACTACAGGTGCTTGTGTCAGTAAGTACAGAAAGTTTTTTTATTTCACAACACTTCAGTTGTTTATGAAAGATTTCTTGAAATATTACTATATCACAAACAAAATTAATTTTTTTTTTAAATTTTGCAACAGCATATTTAAAATCCGCTTCTACAAATTAGTAAAATGTTTATATTAGAATGTATAAGTAGTTAAAATACTTGATGAAATAGTTTTCAATGACAAATTTATGTGGTAATAGGAGATACAACTGAGGCAACTGCACCAAATGGCCAATGTTGTGCTTGTAAGGGAGAGAACTGCCCTGTGCCTGGCAAGGTGATCAGATTTCTTGGTTTTCGTTTTTGCGGACGTGGATTTATTCTTTGAAATACCATTCTTTTATGGGTTTTTTTTTTAATTATTTTTGGTAAAGGCCTTGTCTGAAAATACTTTTCTTTTTCACAATTTTTTAAAGTAATTCTTTTATGCTTCATAAAACCTAAATAAATTTTAAAATCTTGTTTATCTATTAAATACATTTTTGAATTGTGAATAAAGTATATACATTCTAAGACTATTCCTGTGCAAATGTATGTTTATCTAAAAATGAACTATTGTATAACAATTAATTGCATAACTGAATTTTATTACTGTTTGAATAATAATTGGCATTATTAATAAATATTCACAGCTGTGGATTTATTAATTCCTAATTTTACTTTTGTTTTTTTAAGGCTAGGTGCTACACCAAATGCACTTTTTCGTTATTATTCAAGCTAATCCATTAAAACTTTACCCATATAATATATACTGAAAGTTATTTTTTAAAAAGGTATAAGAATCTATTTTATCATATGGTTGCCATGGTAATGGCCGCCATATTGGATTTTTGTTTATCATTTTCAAAATGCTAAGGCTCTATAACCACAAGTGCTAAACACACCAAAATGCATGCATTATATAGGGCGATTTAAGCTTATTAAGTTCTATGTTTCACATTTTAAGTAAAGCCAAGCTAACTTTTTTCTAAAACAAATTCTATCAAACTGATAAAAAACGCTAAAACGTGCACAAATGTAGCTTATTTCTGGCTTTAAAATAAAAATAAAGCAAGTTTTGATAGAAATTGAACATAGAAGTTATGTGTATGTATCTGTAGAATAATAAGGTAAAGTTTCAGTAAGATACAAGTAAAACTAACTGAGGAGTATCAATTTGAAGTGTCAAATTTGTAATTTTGAGAAAAACGCGAAAGAAGTAAAAAAAAAAAATAATTTAAAAAAAAACTACCCAATAAATGCAAAATACAAATCACTATTTTCTAGTAATTACTAATACGTTTTTATGTTTAGAAATGAATGTATTTTAATAATTAGGTCAAAACTGAAATTCTACATCAGGCACCCGATACACCTAAATTTGGTACCGCACCTAGCCTTAAATATATAACTTACTTCTTATGATTTCGTATTGAATTTTATACTTATGATCTCCCTGAGTTCCCACCCCTACAGACGTACTTTCACATACCTGACTTACAGATGGGTAAAGTAGCACTGACGACCCTTCTTGACTATTTTAGGGTCACAGACACAGGTGAAGACTTCATCAAACACATGAACATGTCAGGTTCATAACCAACTTGTCCAACTCTATTCACATCATAAAATCATTTCAAAGTTTTGTAATTTACCCACATTTTATGCTCACATTTCCTACTCTTTTTTTAAACCGCATCTATCTGAGAAATGGTGCCTTAGTTTTATTATTTTTAAGCAGATTTCTGAAATACCTCCATAGGGCTTTATTCTTATATAAGACTTAATATTAAATTGCAGCATACCTATTAAATAATTAAAATTACTATAGTTTAAAAGCAAATACAAAATTAAAAAGCTATTATGTCAAATTTTTATTAGTCTATTTTCAGATAATAGTTCCCTTGATGTAATGAAATCTAGAAAATTGTTTTCCTTAATGTAATGAAGCCTAGAAAATTGTTGACCTTGATGTAATGAAATCTACCTGACAGGTGTGTGGTACTGATGCTATAACATATGCCAGCTACAGGTCTTTGGCCATCACTGCATGTAAGACAGCCAATGATAACCTGAAAGTGGACTACCAGGGAGATTGTCAAAGTAGGTCTAACTGCATCATTGCAGCTATATTGTGTCAGATGTTTGATCATTGAAGCTATATTGTGTCAGTTGTTTGATCATTGCAGCTATATTATGTCAGTTGTTTGATCATTGAAGCTATATTGTGTCAGTTGTTTGATCATTGCAGCTATATTGTGTCAGATGTTTGATCATCGCAGCTATATTGTGTCAGATGTTTGATCATTGAAGCTATATTGTGTCAGTTGTTTGATCATTGAAGCTATATTGTGTCATATGTTTGATCATTGAAGCTATATTGTGTCAGTTGTTTAATCATTGCAGCTATATTGTGTCAGTTGTTTGATCATTGCAGCTATATTGTGTCAGTTGTTTGATCATTGCAGCTATATTGTGTCAGCTGTTTGATCATTGCAGCTATATTGTGTCAGTTGTTTGATCATTTTTATAGCCATATTGTGTCACCAACTTTGGAAGGATCAGATGTATTTCATAGTTTATTAAACTGTATGGCGGAATTGAATATTGCAGGAAAGCTTGTGTTCTTAACGCAACTCTAGAGTTCAATTGCTTGCACTTAAAAGGATCAGAATAGCATCCCTCAGTCAACCCAATAATAATTTGGGTCTGGGAAAGCAAGGGCACAGAGGTTTAATACTGGCCACACAGAAAAATATGTCCTATGTGAACTATTGCTATTTTGCAAACTATTGTCATCATTGTAAACAAGTTAATAAAAAGTCTAGTGACAATTTAAGCGCAATTTCCTTAATTAATTTTTTGTGACTGAACGAAACGATATTTTTGAAAACTTTCTTCGGCAATATTGTTTTAAATTATGGCAGGAATCGATTGGTAAATGTTTCAAGTCTCTAAGTGGTCTGGTTGCCGAGATATGGGCCAAAAACTGCATTTTTTAAAGATTTTTTTTTTGGCTTTTCCGGGAAATCCAGGAAGGAATTCCGGGAATTTTTTTTGGCCCACAATCATCCTCGGAACTTGCTTAACATATTTGCTTTGGAACTAGTCCTTGATATTGCTTCGTTGAGGAGGAGATATGACTTAAAGCGCGGACACACATCCATCCTTGACGAGTTAATAATCGCAATTGTCCAGTATTGAAATTGCGCTAAAAAAAGTTAATTTTTTATTACTCTGCTCTTTTGTCCTTTAGGTATTTAAATACTATTTAAACCTCGTAATCTCATCATATTTTTACAAGCTTTTATTTAAATCACTTCCTCTGTGGTCAGTCGTCAGTCTAGATCGAAACGGCGGAGCGAAAATTCGGACACTTTTACTTGACCAATACGGTTCACAGTTGGCACGTGGGTCAAGACATGAAGACAATGCAATGTGAAATTAAATTTGACTTAATTGGATGCCTAATTATTTTTTTATGAATTAATTAAAATTTAGACCGAATTAGTAGGCATGTCTATCCAACCACACCACAAGCGTCATCACGTTCAATAGCTGCGGCATCACGTTCAATAGGCGCGCAATGGTTTTTAGTCATGTAACTCTATTGTAAATAAAACATGTAAAGTACTCAAAAAAAATTCATAAAAAAAGTTTTAATAACAAGCTTTTATGTAATAATGCACTGAAAAGTAGAAAATAAATTATACACTACTATTTAAATTACTATAAAGAAAAGCGTGGGTCTCTTCTCAAATATTAGTAAAGGTATCCAATAGATACTAAAGTGACCCACGCTTTTCTTAATAGTAATTTAAATAGTAGTGTATAATTTATTTTCTACTTTTCAGTGCATTATTACATAAAAGCTTGATATTAAAACTTTTTTTTATGAATTTTTTTTGTTATTAATATTTACAATTTTCTGCATATTTTGTCATAAATATTTTCTGTATTTTGTGGATTTTGCAGTTATACTACATTATTTTAAATATTTTGTGTGATTAGATTCCTGCTCTAAAGTGATTTGTGAGAAACAGTTCTCCAACTGCTCTGTTGTTGATGGGAAACCAAAATGTGGCTGCCCAACATGTGAAGATTCTACAGCAACATTCAAAGATGGTAAGTAATCTTCATGTTTTAATTTATCAAAACTTTATTTACAAAAATGTCTTTTTTATGATCAGCTAATACATCACGAATAAGAATTAAAGTGGTACATTATGTTCTGTAGTTAACACAACCATATGGAAAGTATAGAACAAATCCAATTGAGCTGGAAATTTGGAAAAGTAGTTGGGGATGGATAGGGCATAGAGAGGAAATCATGGAATTCACAAGGATCAAGAGAAAAAAGGAATAAAAAAACAGGCACTGAGAAATAAAAAAAGACTAAATTTTTTGAAAAGAATTGAAATGAAATAAAAATATAGCAAAGGATGTAAAAACATGGAAGTATGTTGTAAATTGTGTAGGCTGCACTGGGAGTTGAAAATGGCAAAGAAGAATACACTACATTATGATGAAAGCTTTAGAATAGCAACAAGTAGTCATCTAAGGAATAGGTAAACTTGGATGAAAAAGTCATGATGATCTACAGATTTTTTCCCTTATGTGAACTTATAGCAGGCAAAGTGTAGAGTAAATCTCCAAGAATATATCAGTAGCTGCGACATTGATCGAAATCAGGCTCTGAAGTGTCTTGCCTTTATATCTGTAATGCCAAAATAAATTTTAAAATCTTCAATAGAAAAAAATTATATCCACAATAAAATTTTAGTAGTTGTCATCATGGGGACTGTAAGCTGTTACATTTGATAAATCTGCTAGTGGTGTCTTTATTTCAACACTTAACAATTGCTTCTCATCACAATTAAATGAGTTTACTGTGGAACACAGATAGTGTAACATTACTGTGTAAGCCACACTGATTTTGTTTAGTATTGCTAATATGAAATAAGCTCAGGAAACTAATGTTTCTACCGTAAAATATCCAAAGACTATGTACAGTACAGAAACTAATGTTTCTACCATAAAATATCCAAAGACTAAATACAGTACAGAAACAAATTTTTCTACTGTGTTATACACAGAGACCGTGTGTGCTACTAACAAAGTGACCTACACCAGCATCTGCCACATGAAACAAGCCACATGTGAAGCTGAGATTGAAACTACAGTTGATGTTCAATTCACTGGTAAACCTTGCCCAGGAAACGGAGTTCGTAAGTTGAATGTTGTTTTTTTTTCTACACGAAAAATGAAAATCCTTAGCTTTAATTTAAACACGTTATATTTTTATTTGAATTGTTGCTATAACATTGTATTTTAATTTCAAAGTTATCTTTTTCAATGTTGCACTCTTAAGGAATAAAATTTTCTTTGTAAACATATTTTCTTTGTTGCCTACTTGTGGTCCTATCAGTTTTTAAGATAATGTATGTTCTTATTCTACCAGTTAGATATTTTGCAAGATCAGAATATACAATTAAATTTAAAATATTTTTAAACTTAACAATTGTCAGAACAAACAAAAAAAAAAGCCTAGACCAATAAAAATGAGTACATTTTGACTCTATGTAGGAATATCGAATTGTGCAAAATAACATAGCTCACCCATTTTTATGATCATTTACAATGCTGTATTTCATGATATAACACATAGCATAAACCAAAACAGAGAAACTGATTTTGTTTATGTACTTAAGGTGATACAAACTGTGTGATGTCACATGGAGTACACAACCGGATATAAGCTGTGTCATGTACACAAAAAATAAAATATTTTCTACCTAACATCTAATATTACCCAATGTTGTGTCTCTAGCTGTGGCTGGGCCATGGTCAGACTGGGGAGACTGCAGTGAGAAATGTAAACAAGGAACCAAGAACAGGACCAGGGACGTCTACTTCGCCAACGCCAACAACCAAATCCATGACACTGAGTACATTCCCTGCTACAACACCTGTGACAGTGGTGAGTTTCTCTCTTTTGTCATGTCATTAGCAAAGTGACAATGGGAAGGTCTTCATTTAAATCTTCTGTCATGTCATTACAAAAATGGTTACATGATAGACATTAAGCCTTTAGTTAATTTCCTAAACATAATCTCAAAGAGTACCCCACATAACTGCTGATTAAAACATAATCTTAAAGATTAGCCCACATAACTGCTGATTAAAACATAATCTTAAAGATTAGTCCACATAACTGCTGTATAAACATAATCTTAAAGAGTACCCCACATAACTGCTGTATAAACATAATCCAAAGATTACCCCACATAAATGCTGTATAAACATAATCTTAAAGGGTGTCCCATTTTTTAGGCCCATGTCGCGATGACACCTGCAAGGAGCCAGGCAAGGTGTGTGTAGCAGATGACAACAACCAGCCTTCATGTCAGTGTCCAACATGCGCAGACGCAGTGGACAGTCCAGTCTGTGGCCGAGTTGTTAACATAATCAAGGTATTGCCTCACTGTCCACCTATGTGGAGACTTTCCCCTCTGGCTCTGTTTTTGGATTATTTCCAGTGTTTGTTTTCAGTCTTATCTATATACATGCATGTTCTTTCTCTTTTTATTTGATCTATTATCTCCTCAGTGTGGAATGATCTACTCAGTTAAGATAAATATATTTTAATAACCCTCAACTTTGTTTAAAATTATTATGTGAAGAATATATGAAAGTGTAGGGTCAGATTCCACAGTATTAAACATGTGGTGCTATCATTATACCCTATTGGGTCAAGGATGTAGAATAATTCTTGTTGTGAAGACACAAGGCAGCTGGATGGAAATAACACCGTACTTTCTTTTTGCTATTAAGTAAATGATTACATTTTAGTTTATCTTTTTAAAATACTCTTTGTACTGACTTAAGGCTTTAATTCTTCAATTAGCTACCATTTATTTTAACCCCTTCTTGCTTTACTAAGACTTTTGATTTTTTGACACTTATTTTAACCCCTTCTTGCTCCCTCCCACTAGACCTATGACAATGAGTGTCAGCTGATGAAGGAAGTCTGTGACAAGAAGACAGATGACTTTGAGGTCCTTGAGCCTCGAGCCTGCGAAGGTGGGAAATACAAAAAATGTCTACTTATCTTCTTGCTATATTGAAAACAATTAATGTTAATAACTATTATATTTAGCTGATAATTTTTTTTTTATTTTTATAAATTTATATCTATTTACAAAAAATATGTGTTATGGTTGTTTAAAAAAAAGTAAATATTTTGCTAAACATGTTGCTATACAATTACATTTGTTTAATTAATTTTGTTTTGAAGTCTAAGTGATATCAAAGTTTAATTTTAAAAATTAATAATTTTAAAATTGATTTCTTTTACCAATGATTCCAATATTGTTCTTCCTCTTCTAGAGAAACCAGTTCAGTGTGGTCTGATACGTAACTACAGGGTAGAGAGGGACACCAATGGCTGTGTAGCAGATCGCAGCATCAACTTCGGTGCCTGCTACGGAGGCTGTGATGACGACGCTGAGCTCTGCTGCCACGGCACTGTCACAGGCCAGGAGAGCGCCATCATGAGATGCAGCGATGGAACTAAGACCGTCAAATTTGTAAGTTTATCACCTTAGTGTCACAGTTTTTCTTCGTGCCCTTCCTCCATTTCAGCTAAAACCAGTGCTTTTTTTATAAGCTTAGTCCATATGGTAAAATTAAACATTAAGAATCATCCTAAAGGTATATAATACAAAAATGTGATATTTTTAATGCATCACTATACACTATAGAACATTACTTAATATTTCCTTACAGGCCAACACAGGATATTATGTAACATTTCTAGAATCTACCAAGACCTATTTATACAATACATATCACTGGTCATTTCGTCTACCAAAAAAAAAATATCATTATTGGACCCTCAAACTGATTCAAATAAAAGCTTACAAAGATACATGAACACAGGATCTTATTACTTAGGACCACAGTTGAATCAATATGGGCCTTACCTTTATCAGCCCTGTCATAACTTTTATCTTTATCTACTCTAATATGGTTTACCAAAGTGAAAAATGCCAAAATAATTTTTTAATTAGAATCCTTTGTTTTTGATCACCATCATTGCCTGCACAAATTATTTTCTTTTAGTTTGATGTCATCAAGGGCTGCGACTGCATCACAAAGGACCAAATTGGGGCCCCTAAAATGCAGGTTGAAGGCTAAACAAGAAGCCAATAAAGTCTACAACTGCTATCAGATCTAGTAGACAGAAGAAAATTTAAGTTCTTTTTATTCTTAATTGTAAAATAAAGTAAAAACAATATTTGAAATCGCTGATTTGATGTAAATTTAATCCCTGTTTCTTGTTGATGTGATATTTTAACTTTCTCAGAGAATTGTAAAACATTTTTTTTTTCTTGAACAAGGTTATGGAGTTAATGATACAAACTAATATTTTTATTTACATTTTTGCTACAAAGCATTCTTTCATGAAACCATACTGTCGAACTCAACTAAATAAAAATTAACAGTCAACTTTCAAACCAATACACATATTCACAGATTAAATATTTTTATTTTATTTCTTTATTTTTCAATTTTTATGGGATGAACTTTTTTCAACTTTTTAGTATTTATTTTTAGTTAAACACTTGCTCTGTACTTAACTTACAGATTTTGAAGGATGTACATACAATATAGATTCTATTACTTTTCAGATGCTAGTAAATAAAAGTGCATTGATTTTCACCCTCTTCCTGTTATTTTGAAAATTTTATTATTTTTTTTATTTATTTTTTATTTTAAATTTATAAAGTGGTTAAATTAATTCAATTATAAAGCTAATTTAAAAACTCAGATCACATATTAGATCATCCCTAAGGCTACTCCCACAATGCTACAATAAAAAATAAAGAAAAAAAACTGACTTGAAATTGAGCCTAGCATTTTTACAGTCACTGATAAAAAAGCAAATGTAAATATTTGTAACCATCTGTTCAATAAATTAGGCTATAAAGAATAAATATTTATTTCCATAAAGTAATTCAGACTTTAAAATAGCCAGTGCATTGAGTGAAATTTAATTTTCTTTAAATTTCATAATTCAATAGGTTTCCTGATTTGTCGCAATTAGTTGAAACGTTTTAATGCTTTGGCATGAAAATTATTTCTAAGCTATGAAATTCATATCTTAACTTAAATAAAGTATAATTATTTTATGTACACTGAATTACACTTTGTTTTTTAATTGTGCATTCTTTATTCATGTATGAGTTACTCTTATAAATCTAATTAGGCCAAAAGTAATTTTGCATGTATTTAGTGTAAAGGGCTTAAAATAACTTAGGGAGATAATCTCTGTACAAAATCTATTATACTATGATTTGGTTATAGTAAACATAAATTAAGATAGAATCAGGATTATGTTGAGCCTTGTGATGCTTCAGTTTTAAAACCTTTCTTTACAAACAGTCATGTGATGTTTACATAAATCGTTGAATAAAATTTTGAACTAGATCCTAGAGTTTTCTGCACGAAACTTCTCATGTTATTTTTATTATCTTGTGGAATAATGTTATTGTTTTCGTTTTGTGTTGGGACTAGTTCACTTTACTAGTATGCTGATAATCTGTCTTGCCACCAGCTTTCAAATGAAACAACCAGTGATTTAACAGTTAAGTTGAGGGCCAGTGGGGTCGAGTCGGTAAAACTCATGGTTGCTAAACCGAAAAGATTAGGCTCGTTAGCCGGGGACACCCACTCTTCTAGGAGGGACAACTCCAAAATTAAACAACTGCTGCCTTGTATTTTGTTCTTGGTTGGACAAAGGCTATGGAAGCAAATCCAAAAAGAAAAGCAAGCCGGAGTCAATGGCGCATAAACAGTTGACACGTATCCTTAATTGTGATGGAGGCGTGGTCAAGTCGGCAAAAAGCTCATGGTTGATAAATTCGAAATAATAATCATTAAAAAAGTTTTAAAAAACCCACGTTTTCTGATTGAACTAAAAAGTAGAAAATAAATGCTATACATCACAATAATGCAAGCGATCACTCTACTATAAGCGATGAAAAACGTGGGGCGCCGAAGTAAAAGTTATATTACTATTGATTAGATAATACTATTGACTTTTATTAGGGAGCTTGTAGAGAGTCAACAATATTAGAAACTGTAAGAAAATCACGGCGCCCCACGTTTTTGATCGCTTATAGTAGAGTGATCGCTTGCATTATTGTGATGTATAGCATTTATTTTCTACTTTTTAGTTCAATCAGAAAACGTGGGTTTTTTAAAACTTTTTAAATGATTTTTTAAGGATGAGGGCTGGTTACTGACTACAACACATAGATTTGAACCCGTGTCGAGTGGGATAACAATCGTGTGCCCAACCACTCGACCATATCGTCTCCCCCAAACTGGCCACCAGTGGTAATAGTTACCTCCTGTAAGTTTAAAGTCGGTTCAAACTAAATTATCTGCCCCTAAGCCTGTCGCGACGTGGGATCGTTCGCTTCACTGCGCGCGGCAAGAGAGAGGCGAGCTACGCGTCGCTCGTTTTTTTTCTAATGGCTCGCAGAGGAGAATTATATATATAGATTATATAGCGGTCTAAAATGCTCAATAAAATGTTTCCATTGATCAATTTAGTAATAACTAGAATACCCGTCATCCGTTGGATAACTGTGGGTTTCGGGGGTCATCCATCAAAAAACATCACGTCTGTCACTCAGAGGCATAGCGACCCTTCCCGGCGCCCGGGGACAAACTTTTCGATTTGAACCCCCCCCCCCCCCCCCCGCAAAATTTCGATTTGCAACCCCCCCCCCTCCTCAAACTTTCGATTTGCACTCCCCCTCAACCTTTCAATTTATTTTTCCAAACCATTTTGGCGCCCCAACATATGTCCCCCTTCCCCCCCCCCCCCGCCTCCCCTCCCCCCCCCGCCTCCCCTTCCCCCCCCCCCCCCCGCCTCCCCTCCCCTTCCCGCCCCCCCCCCTCCTCGCTACGCTACTGCAGTGTCACTTATCGTCACAAAAAACAGACCCAACATTCAAAAATATGTTTTTTATCTTTTAAAAACACCGAAAACACCGATTTCGGACTATCCCTTCATATACTGACGTCACATGTGACCTACTCAACTCTACTTCACCTGCCCAGTGTCCCGCCAAGTCTCAGACAACATGTTTTTATCGTTTAAAAAACGATTCCAGCCGAGCATATCTCTGACCACACTATCCCTTCATATGCTTAGGACAAAGAAACAGATGAACTCTACTTCACCTGCCCTGTATCCTGTCAAGTTCAGATAGGCAACTTTATCATTCACATCTAAAAAAAAGAAAAAATTGAAAAAAAAATCATTGTCATATTGGTCTAGAACCTGTGCCACCCGCATGTGAGCGGACTACGCTACCAACTTAGCTATTTACTCTTGACGTCACAAATGAATTTTTATACTATACTTTGATGCAACTTGATTTACGGCATAGATCTAGATCTAAGTCTAGTAGTAGTAACTTTCAAATTAAATTTTATCTAAATTAGCCAAACAAAGATTTATATAAAATAATTAAGGCCTGAAATAGATTCTAGATGTATTAAGGCCTGAAATAGATTCTAGATGTAGAATTTACATTAAGTCTAGATCTAGAATTTACATTTAGTCTAGTGACCTAGATCTAGGCTAGATCTAGATCTAGGCTAGATTCATAACTTTCCTTCGACAGCTGATCTTTAGATCTAGAGAAATTTATTGTAAAACTAAATGAAAAAAGACAGTTTAAAATTGATATAAGTGTTGGAACGTAATAAATACAGCAAACGGACGTATTGTTAAAGTTATGACCGACAGAAAATTAGATTTAGAACGCGTTAAACTTTTGAATGGGAACACAATTTTCTTCGATAGACGCCGCCATTTTATTGTACTAAAGAGTAAACAAAAACCTGTGACGTCACTATTCCCACAAAGTTTAGTCGATGTTTTAACATTTTTAAAAAAAATGGGTTACTCTACGTATGAATTAATCAATTAATTAATTAACGTCTTTAAATAAATTTGTGATCAACAGTCTGTCTGCATTAAAAAATTATTCCCTACCTACATACTATTTTACAGCTTTCCAGATAGAGTCGAACATATCACAATTTTCGATCGGACAAACAAACAAATAAATATTCAAACATGTAAACAAACTTGACTTTTAGTAGTATATAGATAGATAACAATTGAATATTCTATGGTCATCCAAAAGAAAGCTTCCCTGAAAATTTCAGCGCGCTAGCTAACTGGGAAGTGCCAGAAATTTCGATCGCAAGATTCGATTGGAAAAACAAACAAACAAACAAACAGAGAAAGCAAGTTAAAGAAAACGTGGAAAAAAGTCTCGAGTTCAAACCCTCTGGTAGATAAGGCTCGATCCCTTCCAACACTCAAAACTAAGAACGAAGAAGAAGAGGGCCCGTGGACTATAAAAAACTCGGGGCCGTCTTATCATTGTAGAAAGTATATAGCCTATTTACATATATTTTATATATATAATATATGTGTATATATATATATTTATATTTATTTATTTGTATACAAACCCCTACCCCACATTTTTGACCTGGGTATATTACTCTACTAGTACTAGTTACAATTTTTTTTTTTAAATTGTCTAGAAAAAAGTTAGATGTTATTTTTACAAATGTGCATTTTTCTCGCTTCTCTAAATGGTCATTCATTCTAGAAGTATTTTGACATGCTTTATTTTGTCTCAGATATTTTGTTCATAATGGTATTCTATTTCCCTGGGATATTTTGTCTGAGATCAATTGTCATGGAACCACACACATGCATATATATATATATATATATATATATATATATATATATATATATATATATATATATATATATATATATATATATATATATATATATATATATATATATATATATATATATATATATATATATATATATATATATATATATATATATATATATATATATATATATATATATATATATATATATATATATATGTGTGTGTGTGTGTGTTAACCCTATCCTTTATCTTACCGAAGTATTTGAATATACAGGCAACAAACAGAGATGTTGGCTTTGTTACAAGTTTGGCGTAATTCAATAACTATTGATCAAAATTTATCAACGTGGCTAAGTTTTCCCTATTCGCCCGACTAACCTTCTTAATCCTAAAACAAAATAGATTAGTTCTGTTATTGTATGGGTTGGTTTAATTGATCTTTTATTACGTACACAAGTCTGGCTCAGTAATTCTGTTGTTGGTTTTTTTGTTGGGCGGTTTTTGTTGATCTTTTTTTTTTCATATTTTTTTGTTGCTATTTTAAAGTAATTCTGTTGAGATTTTCAGTGCGAAATAAGGGTGCATTAGTAGACTTTTGTTGGGAACCTATGCAGGCTATACCATGCTCCACTAAATCTTATAAACGTACTCAGACTTAAATTTTTCCATCGAGCGTTTTGATATTAACACTTTATGTGCAATGAACATTTCAAATATATTTGTAGTCATCGAAATATAAGGTACAATATAGTTGACTGATCGCAGTACACACGTTGCCTCCAGTGACGGAACTAGAAAAAAAATGGCCACCCCACAAATTTTTTTTAGCCCCCCCCCCATATATATATATATATATATATATATATATATATATATATATATATATGTATATAATATGTATATATATATATATATATATATATATATATATATATATATATATATATATATATATATATATATATATATATATGTATATATATGTATATAATATGTATATATATATATATATATATATATATATATATATATATATATATATATATATATATATATATATATATATATATATATATATATATATATATATTCAAACTCAAAACACGAACATAGGATACTCATTGCTGATCTGTTCAGGTTTTGAAAAAAACATATTTTTTAAAAATTAAAACAAATTACAACATCATGTCATGTGTGTAAGTGCATTAGTCTGTTTTGTGAAAATCAGTCTTATTTTATCTCTGCTATAAGACCTCTCAACCTCTAGTCGGTTAAAAGAATATAAAATATGAAAGCTTTATATAAGTAATGGTGTCTCGTGTTAAGTTTATTTTTATGTTATTTTGTATTTATATTATTAATTTTAAATATATTTCCTTTTTATACAATGTCATTCTTAAGTAAGTACTTTATACCAAAATAATAGTTAATAGAAGTAATTGCTTTTTAATTTGTTTTGTAGAAATCTATTAAAAGGAGCTGATGAGCACCCCTATCTGACTATTTAAAAAAGGGAAATAAGTCACGGAAGTGGTTTGAACGTTTGCTTATCTTTGATAAGTTTGATTGTAGGAGAAAGAGGACTCGGCTTTTACAGTTTTTTAAAAACAAAGGAAAAAGAATATACAAGAGCGTAGGCTGTTGTCTATAGAATAAAGATAAACCAGCCGCAGCTATGGTAATCTTTTTTTACAAAACAAC